AGCTTATTCTTGCTTCAGAGAAGGGTGTTCCGAAAAGCAAGCGCTAGGATATGCGGAAAATGTAAAGTTGGTATAAACTCCCTAGGGAGAAAATATGTCACATTATCTCCCTAGGGAATAATATGCCACCTCTACCCCTCTTTTGTTACCAGAGAAACTGACTTCTACACCCGCCGGCGTAAAAAACAAGTTAACACTCTATCAATTATATGATATCAGTTGACAAACCTATTTTGTCATTTGGCAGAACCCCAACTGCACGTAACAAGATTCGTTTATTCGTTTATCTGCGGATATTAATGCAGTTCCTATTTAATTTGTTTTCATCATGGGATCCATAAATCGACTGTGATCCCGAATAATCCGATGAATCCGATGTAGAGCAAACATAATAAAATGGTCAAACATCATAAGTTCGATATTGGGGTTGCTTACATCTGAATTTACAACAAGTGTATGCTGAATTGATGTTCAAAATGCTATACATAATTGTCGATTGATTATAAACAGTGTTTGGGATGTGATGTGTTGTTCTCTAGAATTTGCGTTATTCATCAGCGGGAAAGTGGATTCTCCTGAATTTTCTGCAACTCCTGAGCTTGAAAAGCATTCCGTAGGGCTTGATTGACTTTTCAAAGGAATACTATGAAGGATACAAATGACTGGGGGTTTAAGAAAATGAAGGATTTCATTTCAACAGTCTTCACGTTCCTAACATCAAAGGAATCTATGGAGCTTTGATAATGTATACCACTGTGAAAATGTAAGAATAAGGTCACACTCATGTTTTAAATTCAACCACACTTACAGCTATTATCTTATGAGATTTTTTCTGTTCACGAATTGTCATTATTCATTTGTATAGTAGAGTGCATTGAAGAATAGTATATACCAGTCCAACCATCAGTGCCTATTTAAGCCACTATATATACAATAAAACCTCCCTTCGAGTAGATAAAAACAACGTTTAATGACTATCCAGAAACTTTTATAGACGGCTTTTACAGCTTTTATATGTTGCACTTCATACCTGTTCATAATAAAAACATTTAATGGTAATTGTTCAATGAAAACAGTTTGATTATTCCACCCCATCATTGAAGACTGACGAGCAATCATCGATATTATGCATCGATAAACAATAGCAATGATTGATTATGTTGTGATAATTGAAGAACTGTTACAAAGTTATATAGATAAATTCCTCCTATTATATTTCGCATCAGCCATGAACATAAATTATTACTTCCTATGATCTCCGCATTGGTACAGCCTAAAAACACAGAATAGAAATCATAGAATAGAATAGAATAGAATAGAATTTATTGGTGTCTTTGGAAATTTCATTCATTACACACGTCAAATAGTTTGGAACATGTCCGTAGATATAAATATCTTGTTATCCGTAGATATAAAACATACTTCATGCAGACATCTCGGCAGATATCGTCTTCATGTTTTCAACTCATTCATTCATTCTCGTACGAAGACTCAAAATACTCTAATATATTACTCACATTGTAGATTGTAGATGGGTCGTATAGGCTGGGAGACCTCTCAATCACTGTGACCCAGAAGATCTATTGTGATTACCCTCATCTAGTTGTGGTCCTCTAACCCTAGACTTCTGATGGAGCCTAGAATTTTCCTGACGGTTGAATTTTCCACCTCAGCAGGTGTGAGATAGACCTGTTCTAGGGGATTCAGCCTTTGGCGGATCAACAATTTACATGAGCAAAGTATGTGTTCCGCGGTTTCGGTCGCATTTTTGCAAAAGCAGCAAGTGTCAGTCTCCGTCAGGCCCATCTTTCTGAGGTGGTACCTCAGAGGGCAGTGTTGTGTGAGCAAGCCTGTAATAAACTTTAGCTCTGGTTTGCTGAGGCTGAGTGTAGCTCTTTGGATCGGTTCTGCGAATGGTTGATGAACCTTTTTGCTTGATCTTATTCACATACAGTTCTTGTATGAAAAAAATCTTATTTCAAAAATATATGATTCCATGTGGTAATCAGGGTCAGTTGAATAACTGAAACTTGATATTGAGGGAAATATTCTCTTCATTATCCTATTTCAATTCAAGTTGAACAGAAATCAAGAGATTATCAATAACACGGGATTGAATCAGGTCGATTAAGTTCAAGTTGTTGTCCTTTGATTCATCCAGGACTATTCCACAAGATGTATGTAAATTTTATTTTTGCACCAGAAAATCTTTTACGCTTTCGATATTGGGTTTTCCATTTGAAAAGTAATACATTTTCACCCCTTCCCCCCGTATATCAAATGGGGCATGTATGTTCAGAGTGTTCTATACCTCTATTAGTTTACGATATATCGAGTGTAGAAAACGTGAAATAATATAGGCAATCAGCCGAGCAATCAGCTTACAATGAACACATGAATATAACTGACTTCAAATCAACATAAACTAGATGTGAGTTCACTATAATTTTAACAGGATAGAAACTTCATTTGTCGTGTGACGTATTTCGCTGGTATGGTGAAAAAATCTTCAATTTTCATCGGTCCATAGACCCTTTGATAAAAATGGGGAAAATATTGTATATGCAGAGCTATGCATACTTTTCCAGCAACAATGTAGGGACAAACTGTACATCTCAGGAAATGCAACATTTGTCCCATCATTACACCAGATTAAGCGTTACCAAACTGAATACATGAATAGCTATACAATCATTCTGAGTCCTTCAATAGCAGCCAATTAGTATAATTAACAAGACCTCAGAACGGTCAGTTATGTCAGAACGAACTGATCGATCGCTATTGATAAGATGATATTCTCATCAGGAGAGTGTAGATATAGGTATTCTTCCAACATGCTTCGAATCATAGGAATAGAATTTTGGTTATAAGACTATCAGTAGATTTTTTGCATAAATTTCTCTTCGTATCATATAATGTTTTCGAAACTACAAATGAACAGAGGTTGAAATAGTTTTTGCGAGGTATATTTGTTTAACGAGCACGGAATGATAGTCATTTCCATCGAGAATGGAGCTTGCAAATCATGGGAGTGGGAAATCAGCATTCCGTGCGAATTATACATTGAACTTTTCCTAGAGCTGTAACAGATAACAGCATTTTTTTTTATTTCTTTCTTTTGTAGCCATCTGATTTTCTCCTAAGTAATGCTCATCTATCAGACAGAGCTGTCATTGCTTGAAATTTGACATTTTTGTCAAATAATAACACAATGAAGTCATTGTGATATCATCAGATACGGAAATGAAACCGAGTACCTCATTGATTTATCGAACACAGTAGAACAAGAGAATTTGGTGTTATATAGCCTCGGGGTATAATCTTGGTAGGTACCTGAGTGATAATGATATTCTTCACTACCTTGGTGTATAAATAACTGTGAATGACAGTTCGATTAATTTATAAAGACAATGAGCCGCTGTGATTTTGTTATTATGATAGCGAAATAACTTTGCCCTGGGTTTTCCAGCGACAAAACGGAACCTAACATTTGGAAGCATGACAACCAGAATTGTGAACGAATTCGGATGGTTTCTATAACAATTTTTATGAATCTCGCATTGCCAGAGAAGTCGAATCTCTTCTGTGGGAATGTTCCGATTTGAAGGAGTCTTCGAGTGGAGGAATTGGATAAACCATCAACAATAAATAGTGTGATTTAGGTATTCATTAAATTGTCTTACCGAATTACACTCAAACATTTTTTTGTCGAGGTAAACTCAACATTTATAAATCGAGTTTTTGTTGCCTCTGGAAATTTTTTTTCTGGTAGTTTTTCGGCAACAAAATTCTCATAGTAGGAAAGCCGGCTGGAGATTTCTACCGTCATCTGATAACGAAATAACATATGTCCCAAAGGAGAGTCAAAATATTGTAGTTCATCGAACGGCAACTGTGCCAATCATTATCCTGAGCAAAATGATTGAAAAGTTGCACGAGATAAGAATTATGCTATCCGATCCCAATTGGACAGCACACCTCAGTCTGAGCCAAATCCTTGGCACAGCGATTTATTTGCTTCCATTATTTTGGACATACTTCCGTCATGTGATAATGAGATGAAACAAAGAGCAATTGGAAGGGCAAAATGTCCCTTTCGAGAATATCCTAACGTGCCGCGATTCAAAATGATCTAAGTTAGTGGCAGAGCGTCAATATTTCCGTGAATTTTTCGCCCTCGTCGAAAGATAATATCCGATGGACCACTGTGGAACTTATGTGATGCTCATACTACGTATATTCTAATCCACATGTCAAGTTTTACATTGGTCCATCGGATATTATCTTAAGAGGGGGGCGAAATATTCTCGGGATTTCTTACGCTCTGACACTAACTTAGAAGCAACCATTCAATTGGTACCGGATGGCATAATTCTTATCTCATTATCAAATCGCAAAATCGAGAACAACTTACCACACAGAAAAGTGGCATTTTTCAATCACTTTGGTCTCGTATAATTATTATGAGTGATAAACTCACAAACTTCCATCAGCTCTCCATTTCTGAAGATCATCTACAAAATTATTTATTCTTGGAAGAGTTCTCTTTCTATGAATTTATTCAACGATGATGACTTTATGAGGATTTTTTTCAGAATTATCATTCGATAAACCGGTTATTCTGTCAATTTGAGTGAGGCAACACGATGCATTCGGCTCGCACGACTTCCTAGAATCTGTGCAAGAATGATTGCACCAAGTGCAACACCAGACGCACCAGTTTTTAAATACGATACAGGAACCACAACTGGTTTCACCAGTAGGACGCTTATATGCGCTCAATGCGCACAAACTCCCAATGGTGAAGTATATGCAAAGTCAGTTGAAACAGCACATCAAAACCGCGGGCCGTCGGTCCCTTTGAAAGTTCAAAGAGAACGGCAGCGCAGCCCAACATTCCTTTGATGATCTGTTCCAACTTTCCAACTGATTTTGCATGGACTATACTCGCTATGAAGTTGAAACGACCAAGCTTGAAACTCCTCGACAACCGTCATGCATCATACTCCTTTCCTACCTGTTGGACTCGGAGTCATCTGCTTCATCACGTAATGCACCTTGATGTCATAGTGCTTGAACAGCTTCAGCTTCCTGGAAACATACGCCTTGGCACTAGTAACAGACTTCGTATACTCCCTCGTCCCGAAACTCTTGTACGGGACCACCAGCCCCACATGAAGATCCATGATCCCCGGTGGTATAGAAGGCAGAGTAGGTGCTTGGATGTGATCCTCTTCCGGAGCGGAGGCCGTGGTGGACCGGAAGCCCCTGGTGCTGCCCCCGATCTTGAGCCCGTTGCCTCTGGAAGCGGAGGAGTTTTTGCCTCGCTCGGAGCCCACTTTGAGGCCCCCTCCGCGCTGGACTTCCTTCCAGGCAGGCCCCGCACTCACCACCACGACGATCAGAACGCTCAGTAGAACCACCACCTTGGTCATTGTGATTTCTGCTTTGGGGACTAGCGATTCGGGCAGGTCATTGTGATTCAAGGTCCGATTCGATTCGCGCGAGCCGTACTTGTGGTAGCGCGAGGCTAAGTTGACTCGCAAGGCATTATGAAACAAGTGAAAAGTGGGAGTGTCGGTGGATGTGGAGGCGGCTGGATGATGCGGGGCAATACGCGCACGGAGTTTCCGCCAGACTGAGAGTTTACAGTTGAGAGTAGCCTTCAATGTGGGACTGCATGGGTCGGGTGAAGTCCTGCGCGGTGATATTGTTTTCGATGCGATTGTTGGTTTGTTGATTCTGTGAAAGACCGTTACTGATACAATTTAGGGACAGATCATCATTGAGGGTCAGAAAAGTTGGAAACGGAATATGTGTAACTGTGCATGTCGCAGTTGAATAAAGCAGGAAATTTCGAGATCCTGTAGCGCAATCAATCATCTTTACTGAAGAAAGAACGAATATGTTCAAGTTGTGGTTCAATAATGAGACACTGGGAATTGAGGTAGTTGATACCATCTCGTACAAGTCGGGTATTTTTCCATCATGCTGGAAGATAGCTAGAGTTCAACCAATCCGCAATAAAGGGAACAAAAACCTGCTCAACAACTACAGGCCTTTTGCCATTTTATCAGTAATCTCCAAAGTGATGGAGAAAGCTATCAACATTGAGCTTATCAAAGATCTGGAAAGCTCAAGAATCATCAATGATAGACTATACGGCTTTCGCAACAGAAGATCAATTGATATTGTTTTCGATGCGATTGTTGATTTGTTGATTCTGTCGCGGACCGTTACTGATACAATTTGGGGACAGATCATCATTGAGGGTCAGGAAAGGTGGAAACGGAATATATGTGTAACTGTGCATGTCGCAGTTGAATAAAGCAGGAAATTTCGAGATCATGTAGCGCAATCAATCATCTTTACTGGAGAAAAAACGAATATGTTCAAGTTGTGGTTCAATGATGAGACACTGGGAACTGAGGTAGTGGATATCATCTCGTACAAGTCGGGTATTTTCCCATCATGCTGGAAGATAGCTAGAGTTCAACCAATCCGCAAAAAAGAGAACAAAAACCTGCTCAACAACTACATGCCCTTCGCCATTTTATCAGTAATCTCCAAAGTGATGGAGAAAGCTATCAACATTGAGCTTATCAAAGACCTGGAAAGCTCAAGAATCATCAATGAAAGACAATACGGCTTTCGCAACAGAAGATCAATTGATATTGTTTTCGATGCGATTGTTGATTTGTTGATTCTGTCGCGGACCGTTACTGATAGGATAGGATTCGGAGACAGATCATCATTGATGGTCAGGAAAGGTTCTCTGAAATATGTGTAACTGTGCATGTCGCAGTTGAATGAAGCAGGTAATTTCGAGATCCTGTAGCGCAATCAATCAACCTTACTGAAGAAAAAACGAATATGTTCAAGTTGTGGTTCAATAATAGGATACTTTGAACTGATGTGGTCGATTACCATCTCGTACCAGTTGGGTATTTTTCCATTATGCTACAAGATAGCTAGAGTTCAACCAATCCCCAAAAAAGGAAACAAAAACCTGCTCAACAATTACAGGCCTTCTGCCATGATATGAGTGATCTCCAAAGTGATGGAAAAGCCATCAACATTGAACTTATCAAAGATCTGGAAGCTCAGGAATCATCAATGATAGACGATATGGCTTTCGCCACCGAAGATCAATCTGAGATCTGCCTACGTCACCCATATATGGCAAACTTCATTAGAAAAACATGGAGAATCTGTAGCTGTGACGTTAGACATATCGAAAGCATTCGACCGTGTTTGGCACCAAGGACTCCTTTATAAACTACCATCATACGGCTTACCACCTCAGCTATGCCATCTCTTATCGAGTTTTTTTTTTAGGCAGTTCGTTTCACGTAGTGGAGGACGGTGTATCATCTGATATCATTGCCATGAGCTCCGGCATTCCATAAGGATCAATTTTGACACCAACAGTGTTCCTACTTCATATCAATGATCTGTTGATGAACTGTCAATGAAAAGATCTTCATTGACAGTTCAATCACAGCATGATAGGGAACCAACAACCTAGTCGAATTATTGCAGAATGCAAAAGTCATTATGCCTGATATAACAAGGTCTGGTACCACCATCCCCACCAAGTCCTCTATATCCATGCTCGGTATTTCGATCAGCAATACTCTTTCATGAGATAATCATGTCAGATCCATCGCGAAAGCTGCTGTTCCCACATATGAAGATCGGCACCCGAACATGCGATGATGCTCTTAGATTTCATCCAGATAAGAGCCATTCGCTTAGTTGTGTGATGCCACACTCCCCAACTTTTTGACATCATTGGAACACCGTAGATAGGTAGGCGACCTTTCACTTTTCTGCTATCTCTGCTTTCATTTCATCACTAACAATACTAGTCAGACGAACTCGATGGCCAAGTCAGCCCATTCATTCGTTATCAACCTGAAAATTTGTCAAACAGCACTTTATCAAAACTCGTTCATCTATAGAACGGCAAAGCTCTGGAATGTATTGCCTGAGGAAGTATTTCCAAGAATTTATAATACCTACCTCCTTTTCCTATTCTCCCTAGGTACGCACGATGTTCTTCGAACATTATAAGGATTTCCTTTCTTGAGCTCCAAGCGATATATAGAAAAAATATCAAATTTTCATTTAGCTTTGGACGATTCGGGACCGAATCTGCTCCCGTTTTCAACATAAAGAATGGTTATTTGAATAGCAAATTCGGATCTGTTTTGAAACTTTCCAGTTCTCAGTGATAATGGTAACGTTGGCAATCAAATGAGTAACAGGATGTTTTCATAAATTAATCTTGAATTCACCATTTTCATTCTCAGATTACAGTAGTAAATACCATATTCTGTCTAGATCAACTGAACAAGAAGCAACGATATTGTCTCCGTTCAGAAGAATGCAGGCAGATTCCTTGTTTTTCTCTTCTGGTTGTTATTTTCTTTTCCGATGAAAACGGGAGCAGATTCGGTCCCGAAACGTTCAAAGTGAATATTTGATATTTTTTCTATATACCTTTATTTCTCTTCTCCAAACTTTTGCAATATAAATTGTCACTGACAAGCTAGTGAATTTTTCTTTTGAGCTCTCTGATAGGAAAATTCTTCAAACGCAGTGACATTTTCATCTGATCTGTCCTTACTACACGTATATTGAAATAATATTCATATTTTATTCCATAGAAACGAGGAGAGAAAATCCCAAAAAATCTGGAATAATGAATATACCACCTCCTCGATGAACCTATAGACAGTATGTATACTTATATTTCCAACATTGATCCCTGATGACCATTTGGCTATAGGATGGTAATACCCATTACCCTCATTATTATTCATGGTTAAGCTTAGCTCAATAAACAATTTATCATTTCAGTTATTCTGGAACCATCAGAGTGAACGTAGCTCGCTCAATATTACTTAGGTTATACAGCACTTCGGATTATCATCCTTTTCACAATAAACGATTCAACAACTATGGTGTTCGACATTGCCACAACTATAGAAAATCCTCACAATAAACTATTCAAAAAGGTTTACAGTAGTTTCTGCAACTGTTACGCCAAAGTTTAACTCTGTGCCCAGATCCTTCACAATCTTACCAATTTGGGTACCTGAACGTATAATTCCGGCAAGACATAGATTAACGACTCGTTAATCTATGGGCAAGAGCATTCACGAATAATCTAGTGAATAACGATAATGGTAACAATACAAATTCACCTTCACTTCTCGAGAGCGATTGTTCAGTAACTTATCTGACAAGAACTGTAATTTACAGTAGTAACGGTTTTGATATGTAGAACTGTAGTTGAACAAAAAATGAACGTTCTGATGAGACAAAACTTATTTACTTGACTTTTCACTCCGAATCGTCATCTCATCTTGACAACTCCACGAATGTTGCCAAGGTGAAGGATAAATACACTGTCACACCATACATGACCCGACAATGATAAATAACAATCTGTTCTGTGAAAAATAGTTATTTATTATGCAAAGAAAAGAAATAGTAGATTTAGCTCCACGTTGTGTGATCTGAAATCTAATATTTTTTTTTGTGTATAATATGCAATTTTTTTCTGTGACAGGAAGGAAGGCGAATCAATATTGAGCAAATAATATTACATTACAGAAAATTATTATCGACGTGAAATGTGAAGTGTTTGATAGGAAAGACACCTGCGTTATCGGCATCTGTTTGCAGGCATCTTAATCATTCTTTTGAATTAATCAAATATCTGTCAGTCTGATTCTGACGTTAGTTGTAGCCCTGGAAATGCAGGGTCTGCTGACCGAAACCACAAATGTGCGGCTGTCTTCTGTTTGTTGACTCCGTCGATTTGTTGTTTCGTCTTCCATCAAGTGTTGTCTATCATTTGCACTTTTTTCACCGTACTGACGGGGACAGAATGTCCGAAACAACGTGTCTGCGGTTAACTCTTCTTGAGGACTATGTCCAATAATTCCTTTCTAGTTTGCTTAAACCAGTTCCCTCAATATTTCCTTCCTGAAAGATCATTTTACCTAAGTTCCCTCCATGGCTTGATTGTTCACTCCTATCACTCTTGTTCGTTTGACAGCAAACACTCTGTGTGGCTCGGTAATTGTCTCGCACAACAGAATTAATAATAAATTCATAGCTTTATCACCAGAGGAGCAACAATCTAATTTGAAACTCTAACCCAATCTGCATGTAAATCACTGTCAGGGTGTTATGCATCTCTCTAATCATGAAGATGGGAATAGGTGAGTTGAAGCCAGATACAACTACCGTATGTTCCATATTATGGGGTGTTCCAACTATATTCTGCTCATAACCATTTCATAGTCAACGACTCAACAATGTGAGGAAATTGTCAAACGGCCAAGAATACATCGAGAATTACTTAGTTTATCATAATAATAGTAACTAAGTAAGTATATTTATTTCCAATATACACAGAACAGGTGTACATTTAGCCATTGGCATTATGAAAGATTAGTGTCATTCTACAAAATTATTTCATAATAAAAAAAAGTCTCAGCTCTATACATTTGGAAACTTCATCATATTTCACTACTTCTACTGATTTTGATTTTGTTGGACATGATATCGTAATACTTAAAACTACTTGAAACTAAAGGATAAGCATTCCTTTGATTAGATGGGGAGCGGTATAACGAAAAATTCATTTGAATCATAACATACATGGTGGTGTAATGAATCCTTCAGTGATTGTTTGAATTTTCTTATTGTAAGTTCTTTCATGTAGGGAGGCAAATGGTTATAAATTTTTATTCCCGTGTACAGGGGTCCATTTCGAGTTTTTTCATACCTGTATAGTTGGGCAAATTTATTTTATTTCTGACAGTGACATTATAAGCTTATATCGTCATAGTTACGATATCTATAATGAGGGTCATAACTCTCTTGGGATATTAAGGTTCAAAAACTCCCTCTTACTTTTTACAGGTGAAAATGATACAAGAAATGCTTATAAACGTTTATATGTGATGAAAACTGAGACATATTTTCCTTATTCACGTCATTACAAATAATAAATGTACAATTTTCAAATGTTCCCTGAAAATTACTTCCGCCGCTTAAAAAAAAATAAACATGTAACATAGCGACAACCTAGCAACAACCAACAATGCTACAATCAACGCTACCTAATTCAAATATACAAGAAAGGTTATGAATTTAAACATTTATTGCGTTCTAAATATGGACATATTGTTATGAAAATCGGTCAGAAATAAAATTATCTATGTACCACGGGAATTATAGAGCCTTAATAACCTCTGGCAATTGCTGTCCCTCGGGCCAGAGGCCCTCGGGACGCAAACTTTGCCATCGGTAATTAAGGCCCTCATAATTCCCTTAATACATAAATAACTATTATTGGTATATGTAATGACACTATTCCGAACCCTCTCATTATAGGAAAGCACAAAAACTCCAATAGTGCGCCATATTGGATTTAGAATGATGTCACATTATTTCTAATTGGCACGCCCTATCATTTGATACCCATATCGCAGAAGTGCATAAATTATAACTATTACGCCATCTTGGTTGGTCTACCATCTCGTATTTAGAATGACGTCACATTCATTTTTGATTTCCTCCCAAAGAGCCCTCTCATTTGATACCCATATTGTAGAAGTGAGATAAAGAAAAAGGCCGCCATCTTGGATAGTGCGCCATAATGGAATCAGAATGACGTCGCATTATTTTCGTGTTGCTCTCAACGAGCCTTTTTTTTTCGATACCCATGTTGATGAAGTGCATTGAACACACATGCTTTCTTAGTCCTAGTCAAAAATTCGTTTTTATTCTTTCTTTAATTTTTTTTTTCAAAATTTTATGATATGTACTGTAGGTATTATTATGTCACTAATTTTATTTTTCATTCAACAATCATGTTATGCATTTCTTTCTGCAAGTGATGATTGTATATTTGTACCTAATAAGGGCTTGTCTCATGTTATGTAAATAATCAAAAGATATCAATAAAATTATCTATATATCTATCTATCTATTGTCGAATGAAATTTAGAACATTTCATTAAAAAAAAAGTTTTTGAGCAACCCTGTATTTTGTTGATGATTGATAATTATTGTTGAAAATAATTATTGAAGAAAAGTTTTTGAATGACCAAAATATGTTGAGATTCACGAGGATGAAGGGAGGTGTACACATTTCAGTGGGACACCCTGTACATACTGCGCAGCGCAACTCAAAATCACATGCGGTGAGGAGAGTCAACTTGTCATTCATCATTGTATTCAGAAAAAAAATCTCGAACAGAAAAAAAATTGAAAAATATGGTGCAATTTGAAGAAAAAAGTTGACAGTCGCTGACCTCACAGTTGAAATTGAAAAAAATTAAGATCACAGCCTACTCATAGTATCTGATGATGATGAATGAGGCATATTTATACTTGAAGTATGACTGCGAAGTCAAATAATCTGGTTCTTATCCATGCTTTTTGAATATAAGTATTCTTGAATTAAGTCTGAAGATGGACATATACACTATACAGTGTGACCCACTTCTAATGGAACCACCCCTGTATCTTACGTAATCGTTGGGTAAGGATCCTGAAATTTGCTGGAGCGAGAGATATACCAAAAATGCACTCTATGACCAAGTGGGGTCATTTTCAGTGATATACACTGCTCGCCAACAGCCATGAAACTACCCCAATTTCCGGAAAATGATATTAGGAGTCAAAATAGGTCGAAAATCACTTCGGATTTGGAATTAGGAAGCCCAATTTACTAACAATTCAAATTTTTCCTGGAAAATTTTCTGTTCGTAAAAATGAAATTTTGTCGCATTTTTTATGGAAGCACCTCGTATCTCACGTAATTGACTTTATCTTTGGACTTTCTCTTCCTCCGGCAAATTTCAGGACCCTACCTCAATAATTACGTGAGATACGGGGGTGCTTCCATGAGAAGTGAGACAAATTTTAATTTTACTGAACTGAAAATCTCCTAGGAAAACTTTGAATAGTTAGTAACTTGGGCGTCCTGATTCCGAATCCGACGTGATTTTCAACCTATTTTGACTCCTAATATCATTTTCCGGAAATTGGGGTGGTTTCATGGCTGTTGGCAAGCAGTGTATATCACTGAAGATGGCCCCACAGAGTGCGTTTTTGGTATATCTCTCGCTCCAGCTTTCAGGATCCTTACCCAACGATTACGTAAGATACAGGGGTGGTTCCTTTCGAAGTGGGTCACACTGTATAATATGTCTGGAATATGATCCCAGGATAGTTCTCTCAACTCATCACATTGAACTGTCTTGTGAAGACAATTTTAATATTCCTGCGATTGACCAGATCGACACCCGATGGTGTTATGGTGACATCTGGTGTGGAAATTTTCTCGGAATGCACCGAAGAAGCGTTTCCTCCTCTTTTCAGCGCCCCAGTTCACCACGTGGACTTTTCCAGAACGCACGCCTGCGTGAACAGAACTATTGATTTACTAATGCAGGAGAACTGCAGGAAAAACACGAGCCTGAAATAGTTTGGAATTATTAGATAGGTGTGTAGTTTTCATGTGTAAGTGAGCTTGCCATCCGAATGGGAAGTGATTAGCAATACATCGATCAAGGTAGGTCACTTGTTTTTGCTAATCTCCCCATATTCGCTACTGATGGTGATTTTTGTATCCGGAAATTGATATCATTGAGAAGCTTAGTCAGCAAGGAGATATAAATTTAAATGGATAGGTATATCGTACTTATACATAGTTTGGCATGATAAAAGCAGGGATTATGATAACCAAAGAAAGTAATTCACCTCCAAACAACCAAAATATTCATCGAATTAATAAAAACGAATGAGATACAATTTTACTTTCTCTCTCATCATTGGAGGTGAAAAACAATTTCCTAGCTACGCTACTACCTGCTCTTTCAAACTATATCGTTTACTGGCGAATTTACTGACCTATATGGAATTTTATGATTTTCTGAGGTTTCAAGGAGAATTATTTCTGATATGCATTGATCTATAATTATAATTCAATATGCATCAGCCTTGAAAATGCAATTCGACTGTTTATCATGAACACAAACTTACGAGTATAGAATCATTTTGATTCATGAACCTTCAGAAATATCTATAATTGACGGGTGGTCAATTGAAGCAAATACAATGGGCTTTCCCTTCATATTGAATTCATTTGAATAGCTACTTGCCTACTTGTGATTGGTCATTGTAAAACTTGTAAAAAATGCTTCCAAATGATGCCAATTTATAGTACAGGGGCTGAAAGAAGACGCCCGAAGCTATAGTGCACTTATTTATTCTCCGATTTTGATGAACAGCAAACCCAATGATACATATTCTCAAATAGTTCGAGGAAGCAGAAATAATTCCTTTTTCCCATTTCAACTCATGCGTCACTGACTGTTACTTTTTCTCATTCAAATAAGAAAAACGTTTCCTTCATTATGAAGAATTTGTTTTCCCGGTTGTAGGAGGAGTTGCCTTTCGACATCATCAAATTCAGACAAATTAACTTTTTCAAAAGTTGAAAAAAATATTTTTGTTACAATTTGAGGAATCCACAATCGCTGACGTTACAGTTTGGAAAATCACACTGAAAACACTAGTATTCTGAAATTAATTTCATTCGCTTTTTTGTTGATGAAAATTGGCAATAAATAACGGCGCTATGGCGATGAAAATTGCGAACGACCCTGTAAAATGAGCTATGATTTATGCCACTAGAGCATTTTCATTGATCTTCTCGACGTATCACGTATCAAAATTGAAGGGATTGTTTAATTTGAGTTGGCTGTGCATGGGACTTGAGAAGCTGATGGGACATCAGAATTCAGCCAAAACTCATACGAGTTATCCCTTATGTTGATATACAACGGTTCAATGTGATTTCAAATTTTCTCAAGAGATTTAACTGTGTATTGTTCTTGATCTAAAATTTCTTTTGTTGCCATAACTCATAGTCATAGTGGTTCCAAACAGATTGAATAGTCGATAACGTTTATCAACTTTTATCTATAATGATAATGATAATTTATTTTATATAGAATTACAAGAATTTTACACTCGTCACAGATACACTTTACAATAGCTACTAAAACTCATGATCCGTATTACTTTCTTTTGTACTACGGATACTTTTTCTTTGTGACTACAGTTTCCCCAGACTATCGGTCCATGAGTTAGTATACTATGAAAGAAGGAGAAGTATAGGCCATCCTTAGATGCTGGATATCTAACTGATACCTCAATTGTCTTATTCCAAATGTTGCTCTTGCTAAGCGCTTGCATAGATCTTGAGTGTGATAACCGAAATCAAACTTCGAGTCTAAGTGTATACCTAAGAGCTTAACAGGTTCGCTGTGATTGCTGTTTGTAGTAGAAAAGAAAATATTCTGAGTTTTTGTTTCATTGACAGTCATTCTTTGGATATTGACTCAGACTGTTCTAGATTAATAAGTGATTCTTGACTGGTCTTGCTAGTGGCTATATAAGTTGCATCATCAGCGTAGAAAATTGGTTTCACAATTTGACCAAGATTAATAGCCAGATCATTGAAATTAATGATGGAAAACAGGGGTCCAAGTACGGATCCCTGAGGGACCCCATACTTCACTGCATGAGCATCAGATATTCGGTTGTCATGCTCAACATATTGAGTCCTATTTTCTAGATATGAAGAGATGAGGTCTAATGGAGTTCCTCTTATGCCATATCTTTCAAGTTTAGATAGTAAATACCAATATTATGTAGAGGAAATATTTGTTCCTTTGTTTCGTTGTATTGAATAGGCTCCAAAACTACTGGACCTGTTTGAAACATTCTTTCACCATCAGCGGCCGACATTATCCCTGATGAACATAGGCTTTTCACCTAGAGAAAATGCTTCATTTCTACGGAAAAACGGGTAATAGGACATCGGGTAGTAAAAAATTATCCTTCCTTCATTTTCACATTACTTCTAAACGGCTAAACCGATTGGGTTTAAATTTTATTCGAGGATTTCGATTGTTTCTTGGATGATTTTAAAATACAATTGGACGCGGTAGGTGGCGCTGATATCGGTACGTCAACTACTAAACGGCTTGACCGATTGCGTCAAAATTTTCGTTACTTGAAACAATAACAAAAAATAAAAAAGATCATTATTTTTGAATGGGTACACCAACCATGCCAAGCCTGCCCGGACAGCTAGTGTATAATACTCAAGTTGAAAAAATGCCATAGAATTTGGTCCAATAGAGGGGAAGTCATCAATTAACAAACATTCCTGGAGACATCTTATATTATATCGATACTAGAACTATTTATAGGTTTGATCTTTCCAACATGAAAAGAAATCAATTCTATTTTCGGAATTGAAATTCACTACTCTGCACTGGAATTGACGCCAATAATGTATAGCCTCATCAGTTTCCTACTTCTATAATTAATAGATAATCATTTCCTCGATATATTTTTGTTATGTACCAACCTGAAACCTCATAATTAGGAGGCCAATCGAACCTGGTGAAAAAAATGTGAAGTTTTTTATTCAGAATATGAAAGTTGGTCTACTTTTGATACACCCTGTATAGCTGGAGGGTTGAAAATATTGTTCGGACACTTCTAATGGGTGACCTACGTAAATCACCCTGTATATCGAACATGGTGCATAAATCACAATGTAATGCGAAGGAAAGGACCTGCGATCGTGTCTTTGAATGCAACTTTGTTTCAGATATTTAAATGGGTTATCTACAAGATTTCAGCTATGCCCTCACTCATTGGTCTTTTGGAATCGCTATACTCATTGGATTGGTTGCATCTGATAATTCAGGAGCTGATACTGTCATTGCCATTATCGTAGCTGGAGTGTCAACTACACTTTCAGGTATTTGAACAATAATTTCGATATTATTTATTTGTATACATAGGCCGCGGAATATCAGCTTAGCGTACCGAATGAAAAGATAATCCTGAGATTGCTAGAAAGTTTTGTAAATGTCAAAGTCGGAAGTGACATCTGAATATGGCTAACGGCTGCGGAAAAATTCCGCTACTGTGTCGAGAATGCGAAATACTATCTTCGCGTGCGATTGCACAAAAAAATAATTCATTCCTCCACATACTGTATGTAATCGAAAATTTAGATTGTGTTACATGGGTATACGTATACCCAAAAGTATTTCTACAGAGAATTGAGTTATTGAAGTATTTCTTCAGAAAACGGTGAACATTTTATGAAAGGTGTTTTATAAAATGTCAACGAATCAATGGGTTGGTATTTCAAGAGTTTATATCTTCACCAAGTTAACGCTGACATTTGGAGTATCAAAGGCCATGTCGAAATGAAAAATAGAACACCATTGCCCTATTTCTCACTACTGCTGGGTATAGACAACATCTGATAGAAAATCCATAGAAAGTTGAGGGCAGATGATATTATGGAAATTCTTTCTTGAGTTTTGAACTTTTGTCTGCTCGAAATATTTAAAACTTTATATTTCTTTATTGCCTACTATTTTGTTATTCATATAAGTATATTATGCTTCTGGATTTGTTAGTAAATGTGCTGACAATATATTTATGTAAACAAGGAGAATATTTTGCTTCTAAAAGTGTTTCTATCGAAATCAAGTGATGATTATAAGAATTATAATTGATAATGATAAATTTAGATTTTTCTGATGAAAATTAACGGAACCTCAACATTTCACGTCACGTCCAAATGTGAATCATTGAAAAATTAAGTCAAATTTGACCCTTTTTGTGATTTCCAACGGATATACAAGGTGTCTCTGGAAGGTCTGTACAAAATCTCAGTACATATTCCTGATGTTGAAACGAGCCGATTTGAAGCAACTCACCTCCATGACAACATCTGATAGAAAATCCATAGAAAGTTGAGGGCAGATGATATTATGGAAATTCTTTCTTGAGTTTTGAAATTTTGTCTGCTCGAAATATTTAAAACTTTATATTTCTTTATTGCCTACTATTTTGTTATTCATATAAGTATATGCTTCTTGATTTGTTAATAAATGTGCTGACAATAAATTTATGAAAACAAGAAGAATATTTTGACTTATAAATGTGTTCCTATCGAAATCAAGTGATGATTACAATAATGATAATTGATAATGATAAATTTAGATTTTTCTGATGAAAATTAACGGAACCTCAACATTTCACGTCACGCCCAAATGTGAATCATTGAAAAATTAAGTCAAATTTGACCCTTTTTGTGATTTTGAACGGATATACAAGGTGTCCCTGGAAGATCTGTACAAAATCTCAGTACATATTCCTGATGTTGAAACGAGCCGATTTGAAGCAACTCACCTCAATCCGAAATTGCTCCTCTTCCGAGATATAATGTGGGAAAGTTGAAGAATAAAAATCGAATTTCTCAGAGTACAAGGGTTTTTCGGGATACGGATACATTAGAGGGCGCTTACCAATGGTTTAGAATGGTCATACCTCTTTTCTCAGTGTAGTTTCTTCCTTTATTTGTTGAGGAAATAATTTTCTAAACAATTCCAAGCAAAAAAGATCATCTTGTAAAAATTTGCTGAAGCAAGCTGATTTCGAGATATATCGATTTTTATTGTTCGATGCAGCACCGGAAAATTTAAATAATTTTGAATAAAAAATGTTTGCTGTTATCTTCGTGGATGTAATTTGGTCAGTATAATAACAGAGCGAGAGTAGATTTTTCAATTCGAAGTGTACTTTTTATTCTTTATCTCCACCACCCTGTATATCGGAAACGAAGCATTTTCGGAATGAGGTGAGTTGCTGCAAATCGGCTTATTTTGACCTCAGGAATATGTGCTAAGATTTTGTTCAGACCTTTCAGGAACACCCTGTAGATTCAAGGTGGCATATGGAAATAGTAACAAAACCTCCATAGAACACACATGGGCTGAAGGACCACTCGTAAGGTCGATGGCCAGTTGGTATGTAGATACATACCAACGAAGTACATATATGCTCACTTTGTGAACCCTTCTCTGGCAATGATTGTATTCATATAAGAAACCTCACAAAATGACGATGTTTCTGTTTGTTTTGAACCTCATTATACGGTTTGATCATCGTTTGTGTTTTCATATCACCTACTCTGATCATTATTGAATACTTTGTCAATTTGTCATATTGAGTTTATAGTTATTATATCATTAATAATGTATGTATTGAGTTTCATATGTATGATTGTAGGGTGGAAGTTCATTCAAACACATTGTTTTTTTTTATCAGTTGTGCCTTGATGAATTGATGTTCATCATTCAGGGTGTGAGAATATTTGAATCTGTGATAAGAGGTCTGTTATAGTTATTTTTCTACAAACGTCAAAAATCGACAAGGTTTCTTTTTAAGGATGTTCAACAATAACTTTGCTTTATCTTTTGGAGAGCACGCGAAATACTTTGGTCATCTCGACTATTTTTATAACTCGGCTGCGCCTCGTAAAAAAATCAGATCTCGATCACCAAAGTAGCATTTCGCGGTCTAGAAACAAAAATAACTATTATACACCAAGGTAGTAAAGAATATCAGTATTACCCAGGGACAAAGATTATGAGGTTCCGTGGTAATATTATTCTCTATTACCAAGGTGTATATTACATTTTTTTAGTTTTGTGAAACTGAAATATGGAGCTATTGTCACTATGAAACCACTTCTTTTCAATTCTGATTGAAGTCTACTTTTTTCACCACTAGCTATAAAACCTCCTATTATTTACTCCTGTTGAAGGGTCAAAAAGTGTTCCTACTACCAAGGTAGTTTTCGTCATTTTATGAACCACTAGTCAATATAGACATAGCCACATCTGTACCTAGTAACTAGTACCTAGGTATTTATCAATAACGACTTATTGTCATATGCTATCATGGTGACTAGATTTTAATAAGAATTGAAGAGAAGTGCTTTCATAGTCACTTAGGTCCAAAGTTCAGTTTCACAGAACTATAATGAAATATATTGGTAGTGGTGATAAAACTCGGATATACAGCTATGTAGTAAGAATAACTATCATCAATAGAGAAAAACCCAAAGTCGTCTCCACAATTTTTAATGTATAATCAGGCAATCAATCCTGCTTCATTAAGGTTGATACATGTTTCGGCCATTCAAATGGCCATCTTCAGTCAAAAGAATATAACAAAGTGTATCTACAATAGAAAATCAAACATGATTTTATATATAAGAAAAATTGATATTGGAAAAGACAACAGTTGTAAATTCAGATTGAATTGATTAACAAATTTCAGTTAGATCAAAGAGCAACAGTGATTTTTATGAGTATACAATGATAATTGATCAGTAATTGATAATAAAAAGTGAAAAACAAAATTTTATCAAATCAAAAATTCTGAAAAACAAAATGGAGAACCATAGATAGTACAACCTTCTAATCCAAAAAAGCCCATTTTACGCCCTTGATACCTGAATAACCATTATCACCATCAGCACTATGCGGTTCAACATCTCCCGGCACAGAAGAGCAGTACCGGCGAAGGAAACTCTCCGACGTCCTGAACTTCCTGATCGTCTGGCTGGACATCTTGACCAACCTGGTGGCAGCTGCCTCCTGCGCCAGACTAGCCAGCGCCACGGTGGATTACATCAGCAAGGGCCACTTCAGGGAGTTCCTCTTCGGGATGGAGCAGCACTCGCTGGGAGAGCCGTGGCCCGACGTGCTGGGAGTCACCATCATCGTGGTGGTCACTGTTCTGTTCATGATGGGCCTGGAGGTGAGATGTTTCCCGATCATTTGAGAAGCAGACTTAATTCCATTTATTCAGGCATTGTAATATCTAGCGATATCTTATCAAATGAATTTGTTCTATGATCGCAATTTGAACATGCACTTACCTCGACTCGTGATGTCAGCTTGCAGGAACGGCGAGATTGTAAGCACTATAGCACTATAGCGATAAAGGCGGTGAAAGCGGTGAAAGCAGTTAAAGCGGCGAGAGCTAAGTAGCGTGTAGCTATTGTTAAGCACATGCGACCGTTATAGTGATTTTCGTTCGAATGTTTTTGCTTCTATCACGAGCTTCGTGAGGTCGCCACTTTCGGTGCCAAGTTCAACTTGTTTCACGCGGTAATTGAGAATATTTTGAATGGAATTAGATACAATGAAGTAAGTTTCTTGTATATGAAAATTATCTAAATAAAATAAGAATAAGGCATATACATATAACAAAAAATATGATATACTTGGAGAGTATTTATTTCTCTCTTATTTACTCAAAATTTCAATACCTAATATCTATATCGGGAAGTACCAATATTTTACGTTTGAGTTCAGTAATGAAATTACATAACAAAACATTGAGGTGTATTTTCAATTTAAATGTTCTAGTACCAACCATGAATTTATACAAACCTAGAGATTTATCAGATCTGTTATCACTATACGAACTATTCATATGTTGTTTTATTGAATTTGTCCTATATAAATTGAGAATTTGGAATTCAAATTTCAATGAAATCAATTCATTACATAATCATGGAACAAGACAATCAAATTCACTAATAGCAAATACGTATAAGTCAAATATCGGCAAATAATCCATTTTTCATACAGGAATCGTTCTATACAACTCATTACCGAGTCCATTGAGGAATATACAGGAAGCAACTAGATTTAAAATTAACTATCCATGGTTGTATCGTTGAAAACATAAATGCTGTCAGACCAATCAAATTATGTGATGAGTGAAATAGTAAGTACAATTTGTGTTCACGATATTGATTCATGAAAATCCTGACAGAAATCTTGTATTGGATCAGAAAGCTTCGAGGTAACACCACTCGTACTGCGTTAGGGTGGTAACAAATGACATGGTTCCGCATTTCAGATCATCTTTCGGATTCTGATTGATCATTATTATACTCGTATGGCATGATGAAGTTCCTTTCAACGTCAATAAGAGGTGAAATTTCAAACAGCTAGAACATTTTATGAAAGAATAGCTGATATTTGTCTGGTATAACCCCAAAACTGTGAATGTGAACAGTCCGCGGTTTATTATTCATCTTTCCGCTGTAAGGCAGGCCAAAGCTGTCAATGAAGATTTTGCGGAAATATCAGCCTCGAGAAACAACAACCCAGTTGAATTCAACGCCACCATAACACTATCAGCAATACCCTCTCATGGAAAAATCATGTTCGATCCATCGCAAAAGCTGCTTCACAAAAACTCGGATTCTTGTTCCGTGCGAAAATCTATTTTATACCTCAACAGCTTCTGATGATGTGAAAACTTCACAAACAATGAGATTTCCACAAAATTCTTAATCCCACAACATAATTCGCTAACACAGTAGCTTCATCAGGTTAAATACTGGCACAATGAAAGAAAAAAAGAATAAATAAATGACCAGTGCAGCTTGACCATTGCCAGCAATCTGCCGATCTATCATGTACTTGGCCAGAAGGCGGCCAGAGATCTGATGTTTGCTGGGATGTTGGGAGTGATTTCAGCTATCTCTGAAGGCTTATAATCTTTATATCACTCGCAAAATGTTGGTGAACACATCAAAACATTGATGTCTCTCGCGAATTTATAAAAAGATCGTTCGCTCCATTTGTCTGAATTGAATATGGCTGTTGCCTTTCGAAAATGATCATAAAATCTTAATTTTTTCAGCAATCTTCAACGATATCTTCATTACTGCTGTTAGTGCTACTTTGCCATTTCATATTCTTCGTTACCACTGGCAGCTTCCATACTGTGATAAAATTCGGAAGATGGTGTGAAAATTTCAAAGTCCATTCATTCAGGAAAGTAAGGTATATTCTTTCGCTCATCTCCAATTTATACACGATTCATTTCCAGGTTTTGAGAGCTGCAGCAAGATGTTCTTTCGCTTTTGTTCACTCCATTCCGAAAACACAGAGAAACAACTGCTTGAAAATATCAACGATGGTTTTCAACCCCTTAGTTTTTTATATTGTCACTGCAATAATATTTTCTATGATGACACACTACAGGTACGTCGTAACTGAATCAACAGACAATTCATTTTCATATTGAACTATTATCGTTTCATTTTCAATTTTGGAATTTTTGGAATTGTAAAAAAATAGTCGTTCTACAAGTTTCTTTAGGTTTCTTCGACCACCAAAATGAAAGTAATCCTCTGGAATACACTATTGCCTAATTTCATCGAATTCGTTTAACTTATTTCGGAACAGCGTACAAAAATTTGTTTTTTTTATTTAAACTTTAAACCCTTCTCACGGACAAACGGTACATTTTAGCACATAGATAAATTGGGTCCAATCAACTTATTTTGACCTCCTCTACACGTGGTACCTCTGTGTCCCAGCAACTTTGAGACACCCTGTATATATAAATGTTGTGGAGATGACTTTGGGTTTCTCCATCTATGAACTATACTATTAATATTATAATCTTGTACCTGAGTCACCTAACTGATTTTCAGAGAATTAGTTGGTACAGCAATACCACTAGTCCAAGTATTCGAGAGCAGAGATGTAGATTGGGCAAGACCTATTATAGCCGCTCTCACCATATCAGTAGTATGTTTGCTAATAACTGAACTCCTGCCATCGATTTACAACTCCTTCGTGAAGTTGGCGAGCAAGGACTGGAGAGTTTTCGTGCCCTCCATACAATACAGGAGTTCTTTGACTGGAGCCCCAATACTGGCCATATTCGCAGCAGGTATAGTGCTTGAACCTTTGAAGAAAATTGTATATTACCTTTATTGATCTGAATGACAGGTGATATTATACCAATTGTAGGGAGTCTAGCAGCAATTTTAGCCTTTGCTTGTCCACTTTCTCATTTGATCAAACTGTTGAACACTTCTGCTCTGGTGAAATGTGCTCTATCATCATGTCAACTAGTCTACAATAGATATAAGCAAGAGATCAACTACGATATACTTGGTACCTGAGCTCATTCGTACAAATGCAAATCAAACACCTAGGTTATATTCTTTATTTTACAGTTCACAATACGTCTATTCAATACAGCAAACTGAACAGGGATCAAAGCAAACCTCCTTGCTCGAAGAGCTGCATACTGTCAATTAAAGATAAATTTAAGTCCTGGTTCCTGTCAAAACCCCAGTATACACATAGACTAAGTTCACCGAAAATTACAACGAGGTCTTTGGTCAATTCCAGAGAGAGAAGAATTGGTAAGAATCCAATTTTGTACAGCTGCAGATTCTAATCTATTACTATATAACTGGTCGAAAGTTAGTTAGTCCATTAGGATAATCGAACCAAATCTGCCTGAACCAATTGACTTCCGACTGATTTTGATTTTTCCGGAAAAGCATTTTTTCCGCACGATTTGTCGTTCTGAAAGTTGTACTTTTTCGTACAATTCTACTTCTCCGCACGATTTTTACTTTTCCACACGATTTTTGTATTGTTGAAAAAGCGGATATTTAGAACCAACTAAATGGTCTATAAAACTATTTTGTCTTGTGAGTCATTTTGTAACATTATTATGAAATCTTGTTCATTGTAAACCTTTTTTTTTATAAATAATATAGACATAAATACTCGAAGGAAAAACAATGGACAAAACTCTTGCGGAAAAGTAATACTTTCCGCACTTGTTAGGTAAATAACTATTACCATGTAATTCGTGACATTTATAGAGAGGGAATGTCTACTATTGGATGATTATAGCAATAGGACTGTCAATATAGATTTAGGTGAAGAAAGTCCATCTGAAAACGGAGATAATTTGCTATGTTCGGAAGATGAAGATTCTGGTAGTTCAACAGATATAGATCTAGCTGTTGAGGAATATAAAGAAGGATTGAAGGTAAATGTAAAACATCAATAATTAGTATGTAATATCTTATGATTTTCTACCATAAGGTTGCTACTATTGGAAAATTCACCAACGATAGAAGGTCTACTAAGCTAACCTCAACAATGGCAGTGGCATGCCTTGTCTTAGCGTTCTCTGCATCGATAACGTTGTCTCTATATGTGATGAAAGTTTCAACGTCATTATGGCCTAGTATCTTAGGTGAGTCAACCCACATTCTGGAGCCCTAGCAAATGATTTTCCACTTCTAGGACTTCTTTTATCAACACTTGTACTAACAGCATTGCCTCCTAACTCGACCGACAAATCAAAAGAGTCAATTTTGCCGTCCATTTTGTTTCCAATGTGTAATATTGCGTCTATTGCAATCAACGTTGTCTTGACTTCAACGATATTCATGGAGATCTGGCAAGGGATAGTTTTTTGGACACTTGCAGGTAAACAATGAATGTTTTTCTATTCATTGTATTTATTGTATAGCGTGCGGCAGCATAACTACCTTTTTTCAAAACTTGATAAAACCCATTGTATTAAACAGAACATTTTTATTTGTTTTTAATGATAGGGTTTCTTGAAATTTCGTATCTTTGTGAACCGTCGAGGACCCTATGAGATGAGAATGGGGATGTCAAGTTATAATTGATAAAACAATTTTTACCATTATTGAAGAATCATGTTGAATTGGGCATGGTATATTCATTTATTCAAATTTTGAAAACATTTTTGGCATACGGTAGAAGCAAGGACGTATACCAATCCAGTGATTTTGCAACATCTTCTTCAACAGGGTGCTCAATTTTGCATTTAGAATTTTGCAAGATTCAGATGACGTTCAGCAGAATTTTTCAAATGGAACACCCTGTATTTTGATTCAAAAATTCATTCCGACATCTCTCGCCTTTTTATCGCTGGAAAATCGAAATCGGTTGCGGCGTTGTCAAGGTTATTTGTACGTCATAGTTCTCTCATTTATTTTTATTGTGGAAATATTGTGTTGCTACGGTATTATCAAATTTGTTCATTGACCATTCATACATTTTTTTACAATAGGAACATTTACAGGCTCTCCAAGTTAGAATTTTTTTCGAAATTCACTCATATTTGTGTAATGACCTGTCAAACATCGCCACAATCAAAATATCTTGAATTGATTTGAAATTTTGCTGAATTCCCTCCCAAAAGCCGAGTAGTAGAGACATATTGTTTGAATCATTATGTTTACCTCCTTCAAGTTAAATAGAGATTTGGATTGTGGGAATAACGATAATAAAAATGGCCGAAATTTCAAACAATTTCCTGTTTGTTATTCGTTTCACATATTATTCAAATCATAAATAACAAGATTACAGAATATTTCAAATTTGAACGATGCACATATCACAAAAATACCTGAATGATCTATGTAGAACCTCGAATGTCATGTGTCAAGCAATATTCCCACACTCAAATCAAATAAAGGAACCATCATGACGTACAACTTACCCCAAAATAGTAGTAAAAATTAGGAAATTACTCATAACTTGAAAACGCCTAAATCGATTTTGATTTTTCCTTCAGCGATGAAAAAGCGAATGATGTCGAAATAAATCTGTGATGAAAAATACAGGGTGTTCCATTTGAAAAATTCTTGATCGTCGTCTGAATCTTACAATAATCAGAATGTAAATTTTAGCACCCTGTAAAGGATTATCTCGCAAGATTACTGAATTGGTGTACGTGAGACCTTGTTGCTACTGTGTGTCAAAAATATTTTCGAAATTTCAATAAATAAATATACCATACCCAATTGAACATGACCCTTCAATAGTTGTAAAAATGGGTTTATCAATTATAACTTGGCAACGCCGCACCCAAATTCAATTTTTTTTACAGCGATGTAGAGCTGAACCTTAGCGGAATAAATTTCGAATGAACAATACTGATGGGTGTTCCATTAAAAAAAACTCGTCTTCCAGTTGCCTTGCTTTTATGAAACATCCAGTATTGTTGGAAATATTTTTGAAATGAACAAATTTAGTAACAGAGGAAATTTTTTTTCCAAAGTTTTTCTCTTGTGATAATTGATTTCGAGATATCGAAGAATTACGCACTAAATGGACACACTGTATAAATGCAACATTGATATTTTAGCAAGAAATCGGAATTTCTTTGTAATTCAACAGATTTGATATCTTGTGCTTGTTAAATTTCAGGGCTTCTGTTGTTTTGGCGGTGTGACTGTTGCACCTGTGAAGGCCTATTCAGAAGCCCCAAGATCCACAGCCAGATAAATATAATACCAAATTCTGGATCGGAATTGCCAGAAGAATATGACCATAAGGAGATTGTCGATACCATTTACATCACCAGATGACACAACGACTACCTGGATGATGAAACGCTGATTTCTGATTCTGAGGAAGACATTTAATAACGAAAGAAAGAAACTGCTGATTCTTGATCATCAATCAGTTAGTTGAGATGGATCATTCATCTCACCAACATCGGTTCGATTTTGTCCACAAACAATTATTGTTATAAACTTTACATGAAACACACACAGACTTACCATAGAAGATTTCTTTAGTTGCTTTCAAGATTGCACTTCATCATTTTGTTAAAATCTTGACTAGGCGTTAACACCTATATCTTTTCCGAACGAAAGTGATTTAGTGTTTTACCATGTGGTGTAACCAAACGGTAATGTCTCACATGAAAAAGGTTATATTTTGAGTTCTTACGTTTATGTGTTATTGAATTCTATTATCGGTGAAGCAAATCATTTCAGATTTGTTTCTAGTTGAATATTGGTGCATATTGGTGAAATCGAGTTGTATCTATTGAGAATCATTGTGACGTTGATGATGATTTCGAAACAGCAGTTCCTTTCTGAGATTGAGTGGCAGAAAAATCAAATCAATGTGATTTACTATACAAATACGTAGATTGAATTTCAAAGAGTTTATCGAATTGCCTATACTATCTTTTATGACATAAATTTTGCTTTATTTTTTGAAAGGATTTGATTCATAGATCCCTATTCCTGAATCGGGAAGGTCCATAACTAATATTTGAGAAGCCGACGATCGTTATGGATCATGATTAAAACTATCAATAGTATCAATAGAGTAGAATAGTCTATGGTAGTACGGAAAACATGATTTAATATACAGGAAGGGGCCAAACTCGTAACACATGTAATGAAAATGCCCCAATTTTATTTGTTTCGCGATTTATCTCAGTGTGAGTACCAAAATTCAATTATTCAAACATAAATCGCGAGGGGGTAACCACTTCATGAAATCCTGGGACATGCATGATGAAATCAATATGTGATCATGAAATCAGCATGTAATCATCATGAAATCCATGTTATCATCATGTAATCAGTATGAAATCAGATGGAATCACCATGTAATCATCATGGAATCAGTATGAAATCAGCATAAAATCAGCATGAAATCACAATGTAATAATGGTTTGTTTTGTTTTTGATTTCTGTTTACTGTATTTTCACAAGACAAGACAATCACAAGAAATCTACAGTGTGTCCACTTTACCACCCCTGTAAAATCGTTATTCTTTGATCGACTTCGAAAAACTTCTTCTTGTTGGATACCTATAGGTGTTTTAAATGATGGAATTCCTGGATTGTTATCGTGGCCAACTGCGACCAATTTTATTCTCCCATATTTCAAAAAATACAATTAGTATTAGTAATGTGAATTTGGCGTACAAATTATGAGCGTTACCAATTTGTACAGGGATTGTCTATCTATGGTCTTTTTAATCTATGGTAGAATAGAATTCGAAATTGAATTTATTCTGACTTCATGGTTTTCTGACTCACGGGCTATTTTGGGTAGCCTTTCTCGACCGACATAAACTCCAGATATATAGATGGTTCGACAGATGAATGGCAGAACTATCAATAATAACACTTTTTTATTCGTTCATAAATAATTTAAAATAATTTTACAAGCTACATTATAAATATGGCCATTCACATGATTTTCAATAATTATCACAATAAGATCACTCAATACATTGCACTATTCTCGAGTTTCTTTGCATCATCTGCCAACATAACCATCGATACCCTCCATTCTCGAAGGAAGGGTCCATCTTATTGAAGCGGAATACCAGACGACTTGAAATACTTCAGGTTGAATTTTTAGTCCTAACTCGTTGAAGTTTTCTACCACATTGACACCGATGGTTGAATTCTATCTGATTGACGATGACTAGTATGCCTGAAAAAATTAATTCTTTAATAGTAGATTGTTTTATTAGGATCAAAAGTGACACTTTGTTTGACAAGCGAATTTTGCATTTGCGAGGCGGAGCGTTTAGCGAAGCCGAGCGAAAGCAAAATTTGCGAGTCGAACAAAGTCACTTTTGATCCGAATGGAACATGCTATTTTTTCTGCAACCGAAAAAATTAACTCAAATAAACATGTGAAGTAACCACCAATGCCGTGCCATATGTATGCAATGCAACAAATAATGACAAATAATCCATGTGGTGAGAATATTCTACCTGCATTAACAGCAGGTCAGGTTTTCTAGTATGTTCGAATTGTAGTTTCAATATAAATACAACCACAGAGTGACATATTTGTGTATGGACCAGGTGCTCTAATGGCAAATACCGCGCCAGTGCCAGCTATATAGGAACAAGACGTGGAAAATGTTAGGTTAGTGACCATATCAACAATAATAATAGCAATTATTTATTCCTCTCCATACTACACTGTATTTGAATTGATAATCAAATGGAGCTAAACATTATTGTTGTTTGAGACAAAAAAACTATTGCTCACCGTGATTATTCAAAAACAAGTTATCCATCCAGAGAATAACGAATAAAATACAGATCGAGCAAGAATTTGAATCTTGAAGGCTTTCCTGATCAAAACAAAAATACTCAACTGATATGTTTATAATTCCAATACTAAACTATAATAAGGTGTATTTATATCTCCAGCATGGGTATGAAATGCCAAATCTGCTGAAATCGGAAACGAATCAGGTATGCGTCTGAACCCAAATAACCAACCGTCACAATGTTGTTTATTCTTGATGACGTCCAGTAGATCCTTTTTAGTTCCTAGGAGCTAAAGTTCAACTTTAGCTCCTAGAAACTAAAATTCAACTTTAGCTCCCAGGAACTAAATATGTTGCCTAGCAACATATCTATTTTTGTGTCAGTAATAGAAACGTCAATTTAAGAGCTAATTTTGGTATCAAAATGGACGACTTTTGTGTCGGTTGCAGAAAAATAATATTTTATCTGATGGCATGTCATAATGACAACGTTATGTCATTCAAATTTGATGACATGAAGAAGCTCATTATGGTTCTTAGTCCCATAATGAATTCATTATTGGACTAAGTACCATAATGAAATTCTATATGGAAAACATGTAATGGTGAGATCAAACAAGTTTATTCAAAATGGTAAAAGAGCATTTACTACAATTTGCAATATTAATTCCAATGGATTCTAGAGTTTTCACATCAGTAATTGATGATTTTTGGTAAACTTGTAATCCTGTTTGGTTTTTGGCACCAAAAATTGCTTCTGATATTTTTTTCTTTTGCTCTTTCGAATTTTTTGATGTAACCTTCAGCAACAGTATTGCTTTTCAATCCGCCATGGCGTTTCACGCTACACAGATCAGCTCCAGAATCAGTCAAAAATAAAGCAGACGATCGCCGAAAACAGTGTCCGGTATATTCTTCAGAATGAGGTAGATTTTCACATATTGTCTGACAAGTTCTACCATATTCAAACCTGGGATATTCACCGAAGTTACAAAAAATTCCCGCATCACATATACTTACTCCTTCAAAAATAGTTGTCATTGTGACATGTCGAAAATGCAATTTTTAATTTTCCGATAACATATTAATATAAATGCCATCAGATAAAATTTTGTGTGTAATACGAATCATAAACAATCATTATGGCACACGTCGTGATATCGGACTCGGCTACGCCTCGCCCACGACTCGTACCATAATGATCGTCTTTATGATCCTTGTTACATAAATAACGATTCTGTAGTTTTATCGAGGAGGTGAAATATTCATATCTTGAGAATTTTTGGGATATTATCTCCTCGTGATTCAGAATATTGCGACCCATTTCAATATGAATATCGAAAAAAGAAATGAGATATGATCCCCCTCGGAATATCACTGAGCTTGCAATCTCCCAATTATACAGGGTCAGTCATAACTATTGGCACATAGGCAAATTGCGGATTGTTTGGACCGAAATATGGCGATAGGACCAAAATGCCTTGAAGGAATATTGCTGTGGAATAAGATACAAGATACAGGGCGTTGGAGTTGAATATTTTTTTTTTTTTCGTTTTTTTGCTAATAATTGCACCGTATATATTCACCAATTGTTATCGAATTCGACACAGAGGCATAAATGTTCACAGGTAATAGTATATAATGTATTATTCTACAGTTTGTTACAGGGGCTGATAGGTTTTTTGACAAAAATTCCAATGATTCTGATTAGACAATAAGACAGGAACATCATCTGTACGTAATATTGGTACGCTTGTTTGAAAACGATATTTTCATCCATTTTCGAGAAAACGCAATTGAACAATTCGAATTCTCTCTTCATTTTTGATGAGTGTGCTCTGGACTGTCAGATAATTGTTGCTGGTGAATTACATTTCTTGACAGCGAAAGAATTTTGGTGCGAATTTATAGTCAATACTTTTTCGATTGAGACGTCCTGTATCTTCTTCCACTGCAATATTTTAATGAGGCATTAATGAGTAAGTGACCTATTCTCAACTCACAGATATAATGTTCAATCTTTATCGATTCGAAACATATATTCTCTTCCCAAAATTGACTCTCAAAGATCCGTTAATAAAATCCCCATTGACACTCACTTGCTTGAAAAATAAACTAGACGTATTTCTTTCAAATTTTCATTACAGATAAGTATCTATTCTTTCCTTTTGAACCTTTCCAACATCTTTCTCTCCACATCATTGCTCCCAGTCTAGCAGAACGGTCTCTACTTCGGGGTAAATAATATATCAAATGTCATCAATATGTCAAAGTCACAAGTTACAAGGGTTACAAGGTTTACCATCGCTAATTTTTTTTTAAATAAATGAATCACTTTTTATTTACGACTTCGACCTTACCTGAAACGATCACTATGAACTGGTGATAGATATTCTGACATCGATGACCTCGACGACGTTTCTGTAGGAGTTGTTGGCTCGACATGTCCCTTTTCATTCACTTTGTAGGGATATTTCCAAGGGCTCGCCTCCAAACGGAACTGCCTGTCCTGTCTGATATCAGGGCTCTTGTTATCGTTCAACTCCATATTATCTTTCGAATTCAGTCTCCTGAAAATGAAAATAGGACAATCAATACAAAATCAACCAACTCTGTGTCGAATAAACTATCAATTGATAAGGGTGGCCCACAAGGCTCTGTTTTAGGACCTATACTATATTTACTTCATGTTCAAAATATCAGTGGAATTGGTCTAGTGAGTAAATATACCATGTATGCAGATGATATGATACTTTTATATGAAGGCTAGAATCCTTCAAATTCAGAAAATATGATAAATGAAGACTTGAAAATATTTGAAAAATGGGTCCACTCTAATCTTTTATCGATAAATACTAATTAAACAGAATATATGATTTTTTCCCTGAAAAAATAAACAAAAAATTCACCTCAACCTCAAATTATAAAATGAACTTTTAGAAAAAACTGACCAGATAAAATCTCTTGGTATTTGGTTTGATGACAGGTCGAAATGGAACAAACATACTGATATTTTGACAAAGAAAATATCTCCAATTATTGGTGCATTGAGAAGATATCCCAAACTTGATATTAAAATTGCAAACATGATTCTCTACTCTCATACACTGAGTCGTATCAACTATTTAATAAATGTTTAGGGATATTGTTCAAAAAATAAGTTCAATAAGATATCAACATTATTTAGAGAATCGTTAAAAGTATTGTATCGTCTCCCATTTGATACACCAACCAATCAATTGTATGAAATAACAAACACGTATTCTTTAGATGAAATATATAGAATTGAAACTCTTAAAATATCATATAATATCAAGAATGAATTATGATATCATGGGTTCCTCCTATTATGTTTAATTCAACGACAGGACTCTAAATTTCTACAAGTTTAGCCCTAACATGAGTATTCGTCGTAATATTCATATCGATACTAATGAAATTATTAATATATTTCGAAGACGCAGGGTATAACATGAAGTTATAGTCATGTTGTAGCCATCTAGTGGCAAAGCTCTAAGGTAGGATCCAGAAATCGCGACACACACTGTATGGCGCTGCCATCTATAGTCACACGTACAGACCCTTACGTCTATACGCTACAGAGTGGTACTACAAGTGAACCACTCTGCTGACAGATGGCACTACTTGACATACTTGAGTGGATATTTCCACCACCTATTCAACTGCTAGATCTCATAACAGAGTGGCCCCAATTGTCAGCAGGAGCGAGACAGTACTGTTTCTTACCACCAGGTCTCATCAGCCCCTCTCGGTCTGCTGACAACTGGGACAACTCTACGCTTCGGGTATATCACCCATTTCGAAGACGCAGGGTATAACATGAAGTTATAGTCATGTTGTAGCTATCTAGGGACAACTCTGTTCATCCTAGATCTCTTAGTTATGAGATCTAGCAGTTGAATAGGAAGCGTGGAGTTGTCCCAGTTGTCAGCAGACCGAGAGCGGTTGATGCGACCTGGTGGGTCGAAACAGTACCTACTCTGTCTCGCTCCTGCTGACAATTGGGGAAAATCTGTTCATCCTAGATCTCTTAGCCATATGAGATCTAGTAGTTGGATATATTTCGCCTAACCAATCGATGAATTGCACTTCAGTATTGTATAGACCGAAATATATAATTAGGTATCTGCTATTTTATTATAATTTAGTTCCATTTTATAGCCTTCTTCAATTGGTTATTTGTTTTTCAATGAATAATACGCCAACATTTACTCATTTATTAAATTTTCTACTGTTCCCTCACAAATCGTTCCAAATCAGGTCCCCCCCTCTGAAATATATTTCTGGATACGCCACTGTTGTAGACTACAATCCTAGCTCACCTTAAAATTTTTGTACCGAGATTTGGTTCCTCATCCAACTTGATCTCACTAATCTTCTTCTGGAATCGCTTTCCACGACTGTCTTCTATGATAATATGCCTATCATAGGGCGTATCGTAGTCAACTTCGAGTATCGTCATGAAGCTGTGAGGGTTGATGATTTCCACAGCAGTGATTATCACACCAGCCAATAAACAAATACCACCTGAAAAAAACAGTATTGGTCAATGCTAGGTTTGAGATTTCCAAATATACAGCGTGTCCCAGCGAAAATGCCCCTCCCCCTGTTAAAAATCAACCGCGCGATCGAATGACTTGAAATTTGGTCACCCAGTATATTTGATGATGCTCACTCGGAATGTGCTATACAATGAATCGTAGGTATACAGGGTCACACCGAAGTAGGATATCTTCTTTGATATAACTTTGCAGCAGCCTCGCACTTCGTCTACATTCCAGAAATATCGAGTGAATATATCTCGATATAAATAGCCAGAATCATTCCGGAGAAAAAAATAATTTGTCATAACAAATATTCACTGTTAGATTATTGTCATTACTTCATTATTGGATAAGTATCTACAGGTCTATATTTTTTCCGGTTCCATCATTCAAACACTTCTTTGACCTATTCAAATAAGAAAGTTGAACTGGGTGACCAAATTTCAGGCCATTCGATCGGTTGATTTTTTACAGGGGGGTGGACATTTTAGCAGGAACACGGTGTATATTTCATGTTTCCTGATTTCAAACAGACCGAATATTCATGTTGCGGGATGTCAGCATGAATTTCAGTTTCGAAGAAAAACTGATAGCTTGATAAATATACAAGGAAAAATAAAATTTAATTATTCACCCTCAACTTCTCAACACCTTGCGGCAAAAGTGATCGGTTGAACATAGCTTCATTATGTTCTGGATTGAAATTTGTTTTCTTCTTCAACACAATGATTTTTTATTCAAGTCGATATCTTGTTTATTAAGAGAGATACAAGTGTTTCAAGGGAGCATGAAGCATAACATTTTTTAATTTCATTTTTTACAATAATTCAAAACCTACAGAGCATGTTTGAAATGATCTCCAGAGGGGTATTCGTCTTCGTCCAGCCTTGCTTTACCCTTCATGAATAATTTCGAGCGATTCCTCAAGACAGTTATAGAGGAAATTGATCAATTAGATGGCAGCGGTTGAATGCAGTAATTCAAGCTGGAGGAGGGCAGTAATTTGAGGTTTTTGAGCCAGTGAGTGGTTAAAACGGGGTGGAAACAACCAATATATCAATCCATACTTTCTCAAAACAGTTTCATTTTTCCTTAACAAGAAAACATTGACGAGAATTGAAATCCAAGCTGAGTTTGACTAGAGTCCCTGTATATACTTTAGACAAGAGTCCGGACACAAAACTGACAGCCGTTGGGGTTTTTAATATTTTGTTTCATTTGGTTTGCCCACCTGACAATGTGACGAAACACCATAATCGTCTCGCCCACTTTTTTCAATTATTCCGAATTTCTGTCACTGTCACTTTGAAATTTTATTACCGCCAAAATTTTGAATTTTAAATTATTTCAATGGCCTGCTGCGTACATTATTGCGATAATTCATTAAAAAAGGGATTCGAGTTATTCAATTTTCCGAATGATCCTTTAAAGATAATAGTCATAGAAGAATGCAATGAAACGTCCAGAATGGAAAATTAATTTCAAGAAATCCGCAATATGTGAGGTAAATATTCGAATTAACTTGTAAAAACAGTACAAAAATGATGAATTTTAGGCCCATTTTGATAGAGATTCTTTCAAGCTGATGGATTTCAAATTGAAAGAGTTGCTGTGCCGTCAGTCTTTTCAAAAAAAGAGTTCCGTCGTCATCGTATTGAGAATTACTGAATAATACGATCGCAGAGAAAGAAAATGAGAATGAGATGATGCGGAGAGAAATTGAAAGTTTGAAATCAAAACTAGAAGATTTAGGGAAATTGCAATGTGCTATGTCATCAGTCCACGGTGTTTTTAATTCAGATCAAATTAAAAAAATTACTGGTGAATGTAGACTGCAGGAAGAGGTGGGAAACCGACACGATTAAAATTATATTGAAACAATTATATAATATCTTCTATTTTTTTATATCCGAACAGAAAACAACTATATTTTCTTGGCCATATGTGATACCACGTAGAACACTTAAATTATCTTTCTCATATCTAATGAAGGAAAGAAATATCTGATGACAAAAATTTGCAACAGCCATCTCAGGAATTGATTACGAAAGTTATCGATTCGAAATTTGAACACCCTGTTGTTCATTATTTGAAAATCTAATAGTTATTCTAGTTAAAATAGCCCTATTTCTCACTTCTACCTACGGCTATGAACGGTTTGACAAATAACCTAACCCTCAAAATTGTTTCTGACAATCATTGATATTAGGGGAATTGAAAAGACAGAGCTCGATATATATGTCTTATTCCTTTATTCAATCATCAATGCATTTTTTGAAAACAGAAAAGGACAGAAGTATAGTTGTGTCCGGACTCTTGTCTAAGGTATATACAGGGACTCTGAGTTTGACCACTCACTCTTGCCACAGGGCGTTTAGACGTTGAGGGTGAAGGAGTAACTTTTGTTTTTTCCTGCACAATGATCCATCCATCAGGTTATCTTGGGCTGTAAAACGCAGGATAACATTCTCGAACATGTATCTACGATTTGGTCAGAATTTCGTCAAAATCGGACACGAATTTAAAAAGTTACAGGGTAAATTTGTTTGTCTTTTTTGTCGGTGAATGTATGAACATAATTTTTCACCTGCAATAAGGACGAGCCAATAACACCACCCGAATTCGAAATTCAAGACGGCTCCTTCCACGTGTATGACTAAAGGTGTTTCTGGCAGCATTCCGAAGTAACCGCATACCGTAGACAGCAACAAGAATCCACAAAGCGTCATCAACAGCGCCCCATATCGTGGCACCACTATCAACATCAGGTTCATGAGCATCCATATCGCAAACGAGGTCCTAAAACAAGTACTCATGAGTTTCATGTGAAGATATCCTGTAAAGAACATCGTGAGAACCAAGAGAAATGAGGAAGGAATTGGTGTTCTTCTTAAATTTCTGGAGGTTATATGTATCGGGAAACACCTCTCTTGGCAATGTGATTATTCGCAAGTCCAAGTCCGATTAACCAAAATTTTTGGATAATTTTCATCAGGAACACTCATTCAGGGTTCTTAAGAAAGTAACTGCAAGAATTGCGAAATAAAATGATGAAGTTGTTGATGATATCAAATAATTTTACATACAATTATGATTGATAAAACAGTCATTATGCCTTCATTGGCTGCTGAATAAAACAAAGGAGCAGAGTATGGATATCTTCACACGATTAAAGTAGAAAAAGTTCGTGAGACGAAAGACAATAATGCTGCAAGTTATTATTAGAGCTAAAGCAATGGTAACGGAGGGAAACATAAAACGAACATAGGTGGGTATATACAGGGTGTTCCAGATTTTTGTAGCAGGACTTTAACAGCTTGAAGAAGACATTTTTTTAAGATGAAAATCTCATACAAACATATATGCGTGGATGCTTCGTTTCCGATCTACAGGGTGTCAAAGTTTCAGATTTTTTTTTATGTTTTTTGAATTTTCTCCTACAATTTTCGGAATAATTGATCGAAATTTAGTACACCTAATACACTTCAAAAACTTGATATTTGAGGCTATTGAGCGTTTTTGAATACCTACAGGGTGATAGACTTTCAGGGGTCGTACCCAATTTAACCCTGTAGAACTTTTTTGCGTGCCGTCTCTGCTTTCAATGGGACATAGATTCAGATTGTCCTTTCAATTTGGAAACTTTTGAAAGCAGAGGCGGTGCGCAAAAATGTTCTACAGAGTTAAATTGGGTACGACACCTGAAAGTCTATCACCCTGTAGGTATTCAAAAACGCTCAATAGCCCCAAATATTGGGTTTTCGAAGTGTATCAGGTGTACCAAATTTCAATCAATTATTCCGAAAATTGTAGGAGAAAATTCAAAAATCATAAAAAACATCTGAAACTTCGACACCCTGTAAATCGGAAACGAAGCTCCCACGCATATATGTTTGTTTGAGATTTTCATCTTGAAAAAATGTCTTCTTCAAGCTGTTGAAGTCCTGCTACAAAAAACTGAAACACCCTGTATAAACCCTATAAAATCAACAAAGCATTAAGTATACGTTGGCACAGAGTCTCAGGTGATTGGTATATGTGAAGGGAGCAGAAGTTGAACAAAAATGAGGAAATTGAACAGTTTTCAAAGTACATTAGTTGCAATAGAGATCAGTTAATGAATCAATTTTTAAGTCCCTTCCCTATTTCCAAATTTCTTGTTCCACTTTCACACGATAATTGTTGGAACTAAATCATTCTCGTTAATAATTTCTGAAGAATATTCCGAATCTTCAATATTTTCTCAGTTCTACTGGGATATCCACTTAGTTGACGAAATACGTATACTGTTTTTTTTTATTATGAAACTGTGGTATTCGGGTGTATTCTTGTTTATGATTATTCAACCATAGTCTCCAAAACTTCACCTCATGATTTAAAGGACTCATATTGGCCTCGAAGTACTATAGTAAAATAGTTACTTAGGTACTCCATAACACTTTCCACCACTTAGAAAATATCATGTACCTATTTCTCAGATACTATTCCCACTAAATCGTGCAGTTTCTGCATTATTACAAAACTGGAGTAGACTCAGGGTTAGGCATATATATAATTATAAATTACATACTTGTTCAATACCTGCATAGTGCCTTCGGGCGCAAAGCAGCTCTGAAACCGCTTTGAATCTACATGAAATGAAATGAATCTTTTCTAATGAGATGATTCAGTCCTGAAAAGTGTTTAGGTAGTCTAATCACTATATGTACAGGTACTCATTGTTTCATCTAATTTGATATAGGTACTTCAAATCCCAACATTCTGAATGATTATAAGTATACTTCTGAGAATCATAGCATAGCACTCCATATTTATATCTTTGAACTAATTTTACTATGATTTTCATCAGACTGGATGGTTCATCAATTGAAATATTATATTCAGCGGAACAGCCGTACACCAAAAATTTTGTAACCTCATTGGTAATTGCCGATAATTTGCTAGTGTATACTATCATCTGGGTACTAAAATATTCACCTGGATGTGATGTCGAGTTGTATTTATTCCTTGTCCTCTTATTCCAATTATTGTTCAACAAAATTGTAGGTGGATGAATTCACTTAACTGTACAGGGTGTTAATTAATTGAGTGCCGATAATACAAGGTGTGAATCCTCGAGTGGTTTTAAGGAGAAAAGTGTATATCAACATATGTGATAAAAATATTAGTTCTTCAGCTACAGGGTGTATATAAAAATCAGAGGTGTACAGTTTTTTGTTGAATCAAAACATTCAATATCAGGCCTACTTGAACATCACTGGTGAAAGTGAAAAAAATATTTTCGTCTCAGAACAAAATGTGTTCACACTCACAGTGGGCACCTACTGATTTTTGACAAAACACCAAAAACAATCTCAATGAACTGAAAAAAAAGTTTTTCAAGTTTTTTCACGCGAAAACGGTACGCTGTATGGAACTAAGTCTAGGAATCACATTTGCTCCAATCTAAATGGGTATTTCAAATATAATTTTGGTTTATAGAAAAAATCAGTCGCGTACCATTTTTTGCTCAAAAATTGTCAGTTCAAACCTCGTACAGACGTCACTGGTGAACATTTTGAGGAATCTTGCACGTCAAAAAATGCTTCATAGAGAAGAAAAGTGTGTACAAAAATTTCACGAAAAAATTTGAGAGTGATAGAAACTTATGATCAAAAACTTACTTTCTCCTCAAAATTTCAGCACCCTGTAGCTCGAAAACTAAGAGGTTTAGTACATATATTATGTTGAACTTTTCTCCTTTAAATCACCCAAGGATTTACACCTTGTATTATCGGCACTCAATTAATTAATTCCCTGTTTATCTCTTCGTGTTCAGATGCCAATCACCCTGTACTGTATAACTGATTTGTATGCCATTTTGATATAATATTTGTATGAAAGATGATACGAAATAGACACTGTACATAAATAATTATATATCAGTTATGCGAAGACAAATTATAGGACACTCTACAGTGTGTATCTAAATAACAACGAAAAAATTCAAGGGATGTTTCCTTGTGACATTCTAGCAAATAAAGTTTATATGAACATGTGTCCTAACTTGCTCCATTTTTGAGATACAGGATGTTGAAGTTGGAAGTATTAATTGTTTTTATTCATAACCCCCCTGTATAAGCTTTTATGGTGCCAAAATGTGGGTTCCAGAGAATGAAGGAATCAAAGGAAATGAGGCAGCTGATCGCCTTGCATAAAAAGGTGCAGCATCTGCACTTTTTGGTCCTGAGCCTTTTTGTGGGATAAGCAAATGTCACCCAAAGGAAGAACTCAAGAAATGGGAAGAAATTGAAAAGTCCTCCTACTGGAGAGCAACTCCAGGTCAACGACAAGCGAAAAGGTTCATCAACCATTCGCAGAATCGAGCCAAAGTGCTACTCAGCCTCAGCAAACCAGAGCTGAAGCTTATCACAGGCTTTCTCATAGAACACGGCCCTCTGAAGTACCACCTCAAAAAGATGGGCCTGGCGGAGACTGACACTTGCCGCTTTTGTAACAATGCGACCGAAACCGCGGAACACATACTTTGCTCATGTGAAGTATTAGTCCGCCAAAGGCTGAACCACCTAGAACAGGTCTATCTCACCCCTGCTGTGGTGGAAAATTCAACCGTCAGGAAAATTGTAGGCTTCATCAGAAGTCTATAGGGTTAGAGGACAATCTACAATGGTGCCAAAATTCAGTATGGATGGAGACTGAGCAAGTCACAAAATTTCAAAATGATTCTAATCGGGGTTATTGAGTAATCTCAATGGAAGTCTTGAAAACACCTACATTAAAATTTGGAGTCAAATCGATTTCTTATTGTTTCCTCAAAAATTAAGCTAGATACAAAAATCACACAGAGAATAAAAAAGTTATTTCAATAGTTCTATCTAATAAAAATATGAAACTTAAAAAAACCGGTGGGGTACAATGACATTCACCATAAATATTGATAAATTTACCCACTGTGACGACAGTGGAAATATTATTTGCACTAGAAGAAGCTCCATATTACTATCAACAAAATCACAACGTTTTATTGAAATTTGTGGAAAGAAAATTGAGAAAAAAGATTTTTTTATGGAAATAATCTCGAAAAGGAAGCAAGTTAGGACACATGTTAATGTGAACTTTATTTCCTAAAATATCACAAGGAATCATCCCTTGAACTTTTTTGGTGTTATTTAGATACACCCTGTATATTATTTTATACTGACCACAACATAATAATTGCAAAATAACCGGCAGCTCTATACTGCCCACCCCAGGCCAGTCCTTCTTGTCCAACGGTGAAATATTCTGCAATGGTTAAAATTGGGAAGGGTAGTCCTCTTATCAGGGCTTCCTTGAAACTATTGCCCATCTGGTGTGAGTCTATCCATAAAAATCGTTCGTTAAAATCTATATCAGTCGTCCAATTACTATTCGATGCTGAAAACAAAAGCGAAGTTGATATCAGAACCTCAGAGCATCTGATATTCATTTTGTTCATTCACGCTGTAGAAAAGTTATCACATTCTAAGGACATTTAATCTATTCTGTGGAACTGATGTCAAATCGACAATTTAAGGAATTTTCGGATAAAGAGTCTTTTTCCTTTCGGAATCAGAAGATGAATAAGCATTGGCAGCGGCAAAAACTCTTATTTTGGGTGGAGGAGCTACAGTCATAGACTTTGTTACATAAATTAAACTAAAAATGCAATTATAATTTTTCTGCAGCACTCATACACTATTGACCATCATTTAAGCTTCTTTGGAGTTTTCATTATACCAGGTGTACCAGTATACCGGTTCCAATGAATTATCTCAGCCATTTCGAAAAATAAAAATTCGAAAATTTCGTGATCTCCAATTTGTGCAAGGAACCTAAAACTGAGAAAAACAAAAATTGAAAGTCACTTCCGGTTTGACAGGAAGTGACTCTAACTTCTATATTTCAAATAGCACCCTGTATATTTTTTGCAATTCTTGATTTCTACTCAGAATTACCGTTCTAACGATGTATCACTTCGTGTTTTGAATCTGATTTGATGGAGAAAACGACAATTGAAATTTCAAATTGAACGAATTGCAGTAGGCTACGAAATTTTTGTAATCTTGATGTTGACTTCAATAATAATTTCAAATGATTAGAATTGTAGTAGATTATGTAATTTTGAAATTTTTATCTTTTGAAATTGCTGAGATAATCTATTGGAACGGGTATACTGGTACACTCGGTATAATAATATATATATTTATTTGAAAAAAAAATATACTTCCAGTTGAGGTAAGGAAACAAGAGTCCTGAAAATTTTATAATAACAATAGGAAAGGAAATATCATAAACTACAGGGTGGGCCACCAGTAACGCCTCGGTCTCTAGAAGGCTAACCACTCATCTTCTTGGAATTCTTCCTCTCTAGGAAGTTGCATGTCAACATAGGCTACCATTTGAATTTATTTCGAAACATACAGGGCGTCCCCAAAAACCATAAAACACTGAAGTTAAACTTTTTTCTATCGAACACCCTAAATATTATTTCATTTTGAGATTCTCCCTGATGAGCTGATTTCAACGACCCATCATACTTGAGGTCTAGCAGTTATAATTACTGAAATATAGGGTGTGAAAAATCGAGATTTTCCAAGTTCAAGAATTTTTTGTGTCGAAACTATTCATAATTGGTCAAAACGGCTTACATGTCCCTATCTCAACTTTTGATTAACTATCTACTGATATTTAATTGGGACATATACCGGGTGATCAAGATTCTGAATTCTGCACCACCCTGTATTTGTTTCAATTAAATGTCAGTAGATAGTTGATCAAAAGTTGAGATAGGGACATGTGAGCCGTTTTGACCAATTATGAATGGTTTAGACACAAAAAATTCTTGAACTTGGCAAATCTCGATTTATCACACCCTATATCTCAGTAATTATAACTGCTAGACCCCAAGTATGATGGATTGTTGAAATCAGCTCACCAGGGAGAATCTCAAAATGAAATAATATATAGGGTGTTCGATTGAAAAAAATTCAACTTCAGTGTTTTGTGATTTTTGGGGACATCCTGTATGTTTGAAAATAATTTCAAATGGTAGCCTATGTTGACATGCAACTTCCTAGAGAGGAAGAATTCCAAGAAGATAAGTGGTTAGCCTTCTAGAGACCGAGGCGTTACTGGTTGCCCACCCTGTATAATGACAGTTTCCTCTTTTTTTTATCGCTTGGGTTGATTTGTTCTTCTGAACTTTTTTTTATGTGGAGGATAGACAGTCGACTGAATCTCTCTTGTCATAAAATTTGGGGTGGAATGGACAATGTTTTGGGTGGACTTAGCCCATCCCTGTCCCCCCCCCTTTCCGCCGCCTATGAGAATAAATATCATAATAAAATAAATTAGCCCTCAGACCATGAGTGTCAGATACTCAGACTTATTGGATACTTTATATTATTGGAATTGAAGAAATATATACGTGAAGACCAATAAATACCACGTTTGAGTTGTTAAGAGTGCAAATGTTGAACTGTTGATAGATTTTAATGTCACTTTCTATTTCGCCGGTACCACTAGAAGTGGCCAAATAGAACACCCTGTATTTTTCTATAATAATAATGGATATTGGGAAACATATACAGGGTGTATCATTTGAACATCAAGGGTTGAAGTCTCTTCAATGACATCAACAAAGGCCAAATATAACGTATTTGAATCGGTCGAATATCCAAATCCTCTCATGAACCACTCAATACGAATTTTTCTCAAAAAAGTATACTAGCAATATAATTTCTTACCTTGCAATGTTATATTTACATGCTTTAGTCCTACGTAGACACCAATGTCAGCTATCACCTTTTCTTTTGAAAAAGCCCTGTACGTGATCACTGCTGGCGTCTTGGATACATGCCATGCTGATCCGTATACAGTAACTGGAAATAAATTACTCAGCTCGATTATTCATTTTGTTACTAGTAGTAGGAGCCTGCTGCAGATTTCTATACCGTTATCTAATAACGAAATAACATATGTCCCAAAGGACTGTGAAAACATTGTTAGTTCATCAAATGGCACCTGTGCCAATCACTATTCTGAGCAGAATGATTGAAAAATTGCACTATCATGTCTGTATTTGTATTCGAGAGTTAATTTAGATAACTATTCATCAGCGGAGATAAATTTGGGAATTATTATAAAACGGGATTCTTTGATCACCCAAATTTTGAATTTCTCAAGAAATGTTCCCCTTTTTCTATGGAGAAAAGGGCGCTGGAATTTATTGCGCCTCAGTCTGCGCAACGTCCTAATCCACCACCGTTACTAAAAGTGTCTTGTGTCAGGGCCTACTCTATCACCTAGAGTAGGCCCTGCTTGTGTACGATTTGAAAGTTCCATAACAAAAAATCAAATGTGTCTATTAATATGATATACATTGATACATTCTCGAAAATATTCTGCATCAATTTCATAATACAATGATACATGACATTCTATTACGAAAATGTCTAATGAACAATGACAAGTGTGACAGATGACTATGCAATCAAGAATACAGTCGTATCTCTCTAACATGTGTGGAAAAGAGACACCGTAATAAAATTGGTCATGTGGCACTCAATCATTGTTGAAGGACCGTTACTATAGTAGATAAATAGTGCACAAAAAACGGCCTCTGCTGTAATTGTGAATCTTTCATTCATTGTATTTTGGAATTTAGTTGGTAGCAAGTATACCAAATTGCCCATTCATTGATTTTTTGTAGACCATAAATGACTGCTATCGAAATTCGATCAGAAAGAAGAATGAACATGAAACGATCCTTATTAGCATGGGACCTTTTTTTTTTTTTTATCGCTTGGAGCGCACGAAAGGGAATCCCTATAATGTTCAAAGAACATCGTGCGTTCCTAGGGGGGATAGGGACAGGAGGTAGGTATTGGAATTTTTTTTGAACTTTTGGAGATTATATGTTGTTGGGAATACTTCCACAGGCAATGAATTCCAGAGCCTAGCCGTTCTATGGATGAAGGAGTCTTGATAAAGTGCTGTTCGACATCTTTCGAGGTTGACAACGAAAGGATGTGCTGACTGGGCTTGTCTAGTTCGTCTGATTGGTATTGCTAGTGAAGGGATGATAGCAGAGATTTCCGAAGAACATTTCCCGTGGAAGTATCGATAGAAAAGTGAAAGGTCGCCGACCTTTCTACGGTGTTCCAATGATGTCAAAGAGTGAGTGAGTGTGGCGTCACCCACCAGGCGAATGGCTCTTCTCTGGATGGAATCTAAGAGCATCAGCGTATGTTTTGGTGCTGAACCCCATATGTGGGAACAGTATTCTAGAACAGGCCGTATCTGCGCTTTGTAGATCATGAGAAGCTGTTGAGGTGTAAAGTAGCTTTTCGCACGGAACAAGAATCCGAGTTTTTGTGAAGCAGCTTTTGCGATGGATCTGACATGATTATCCCATGAAAGAGTGTTGCTGATGGAAATACCGAGCATAGATATGGTGGGCTTGGTGGGGATGGTGGAGCCAGACATTACAATATCAGGCATACTGAGTTCCGCCTTCCTAGAGAAAATGCAGGCTTGAGTTTTGGTGGCGTTGAATTCAACTAGGTTGTTTGTTCCCCAGGCTGTGATTTCAGCAAGATCTTCATTGACAGCATTGACCTGCCTGCGCCGTGAGTTCTTAGTTTCCTGGGAAGAAATGGGAATTCTGGAAGAGAACGCAGTATGGAGGGTACTATCATCTGCAAAGCTGTGGATGGGGCAAGTTGTTACTCCCAACAGATCATTGATATGAAGCAGGAATAATGTTGGTGCCAAAATTGATCCTTGTGGAACGCCGGAATTGATGCCAATGGTATCAGACGATACACCGTCCACCACCACGTGAAGCGATCTGCCTGAAAGAAAACTCGATAAGAGATGGCATAGCCGAGGTGGTAAGCCGTATGATGGTAGTTTGTGGAGGAGTCCTTCGTGCCAAACACGGTCGAATGCTTTCGATATGTCCAACGCGACAGCTAGAGATTCCCCGTGTTTTTCTATTGAAGATTGCCATAAATGGGTGACGTAGGCAAGTAGATCTCCAGTAGATCTTCGGTGGCGAAAGCCGTATTGTCTATCATTGATGATTCCTGAGCTCTCTAGATATTTGATAAGCTCAATATTGATGGCTTTCTCCATCACTTTGGAGATTACTGATAACAGGGCAATGGGCCTGTAGTTGTTGGGCAGGTTCTTGTTCCCTTTTTTGGGGATTGGTTGGACTCTAGCTGTCTTCCAGCATGATGGAGAAATACCCGACCTGTACGAGATGGTAAACAACTTGCAGAGAATCGGTGTCAATTCTGGTGCACATTTCTTGAGGATAATGGGTGGAATTCCATCAGGACCGTTAGCCTTATTCGTCTTGAGACCAAGCAAAATTCGTCTGATAGTGCGTTGGCGGAAGACGATTTCGGGCATTCGACTCTCAACGGGTGGAATGTCTGGCGGCAGTTTTCCTTGGGAATCTAAAGTAGAGTTTGCTGCGAACATCTCTGCAAAAATATTTGCTTTCTCCTGCGATGTTGTTGCTAATGTGCCGTCGGATTTGGACAGTGGTGGAAATGAACTATTAGTGAAATTTCTTCCGACCGCTTTAGCAAGGGACCAAAACGAACGGGAGCCATTGGGGCAATCTATGAGTTTCGATCTTATCTTGGCATTGTATGTTTCTTTCGAAGCATCTATTGTTTGGCTGCAGTTACTCCTGGCATCAACGTATTCTGCTCTAGTCGCGAGGTTAGGGTTTTTGCGCCAGCGATAGTAGGCTGTTTGTTTCAAGGCAACAGTTCTAGAACAGTTTTTGTTGAACCAGGGTTTCGAAGGTGATGATCTTTTCGAAAAATGAGGAATGTATGTGTCCATTCCGAGCATGATGATCTCGGATATTTCCGCAGCACACTGTGAAGGGTCCTCAGAGTCAAAGCATACTCTATGCCAGGGAAACTCGGAGAAAAACATGCGGAGACCGTCCCAATCTCCTGAATTGTAATGCCATATAAGACGTGGAGGTGCCGGAGCAGTTGATGGAATGAAAAATGGGCAGGTTGTGGAGATGAGTGTGTGGTCAGAATTGCCAAGTGGAGCACGTACATCTATGGTGTAGGGTGCTGAATTATTAGTGAGGAATAAGTCAAGTATGTTAGCTGAATGGTTATTGGCATCGGGAATTCGTGTGGGTTCTTTGATAAGCTGCTCTAAGCCGTGAGAGATGGCGAAAGCTTCGGCTTGTCGCCCAGCTTCATCCGTTCTGTTAGAGTGTACGAGCCAAGCAGTGTTGTGTACATTGAAATCGCCCATGATGATGATTTCTGCTGCTGGATGGTTCTGTTGAATTTGGTCAAGCTTCAGAGACAAGAATTCGAAGAGCTCTTCATAGGATGGATCATTTGGTGATAAGTAGAGACAACAAAGGTATTTGGTCTGTTTCTGGCTATCGAGTTTGAACCACATGACATCAAACTTGTTTGGTTCCAAAGTTTTTTCTCGTTGACATGAGAGATTCGTTTTAGAGTAGAGGCAGAGACCTCCCTTGAATCTGAAACGTGTGTGGAGTTCGTACCCAGGACAGAGCAGATAGGTCGTATTGGTGGATGAATTGACCTGTGTCTCAGTAAGAGCCAATATGTCTGGCTTCTCAATTTGAAGGTGTCGATGGACATCGTTGATGTTCTTACTTAGACCTCGGATGTTACATAGGTCTATCTTGAGGACTTTTTCAACCGATGGTGAACGCCCTCTAGCACCTCTCGCCCGGAAATCCGAATGGAGAGGTATTTTACTTCCGGATAATTTTACTTGAGGAGAACTCATCATCGCGTATTCTGTATGAAGAAGGGAGGTTGGCGTGGAAGGAAAAGGAAATTGGGTTGGGTTGGGTTGGCCGGAACATCAACCAGCTACTGAAACACGGGTAAGTATACCCATTTCACAGTGCCTATGGTTGATGTGGTGGTATCGCACCGGGCGATGGCGTTAACCATCTTCCACCTATTGGCGTCCTTTTAGTCTGGAAAACCGTGAGGAAACCCTGTATATCCACGATAAAGTAAACCTGTTTTTACTGTAGTCGAATTTGTTTTAAATATACATGCATTACTTACTTAATATGGTGGCTCCTATGAAGAGACTCAAGGTCACAGCACAAAAAGTCGAACATTTCTGAAACAAAAACATGAATATTTCAACTTTTTTAATACCTATCTATATCATTCTGATAAAATCATATTCATGAGTTTTTTTTAACGCAATTTATAACACTTCCGATATCATGAAATCGAAAATATTCATGCAGAAGCGTTGATGATTATTCAAATATCTATAAACTTCGATAGGAATTTCATAGCTTGATTCCATCAATTATCTATTTCTAATCATATATCTCAGAATGTCAGTTCATTTTATCTTGAATTTCATCATTCCATTCCAGTTTTCCGTGTGCTTCCATGAAGATCTCTATTGTTTGAGACATGGGCGTATTCAAAGGGTACACAGAAAATCAAAAGTTCTTTAATATAAAGAAAAAAGTTTGGAGACTGTGATTGAAGAATCAGATACAGAACAATACCCAAAATACCTCAATAATATTCAGAAAAGCCTGACTCTTTAGTATCTATACCAAGATCTATACCTATCTTTCGGTATATTCACCATCAGAAATGGCCAGTGAGTGTGATAGTCGACATATGAATATCATGAGATAAGATGAGGCTTCAAAAATCGTTTTAGATTTTTCTCAAAAGTAGCCCATTCTGGAAATGATGGATTAACCATACATTTGCATCGTACTGTGCATAATCAGCTATTCCATATTTCCTTTTGGTACTACTGAGGATGACAACTTAGTTGCGGTATTATTTTGTGGCATTTTGGGTATATTTTTTGGTATTTTTTCATTTGATGATATAAATGATATTAATTGAAAAAAGGTTTTTACAATTTACGAGTTAAGTTGGTATGATCCTATGTTCCATTTACCTAAACGTAACAACATATCCCCCCCCCCTGTGTACCCATCAGAGTACCGATTCCAAGAAGTGAAATAAATTCTGATTCGATTAAGCATATGAGCGTCTATTGATTCAAGGGTTCCTTATTTTCGTTTGTGTTAAGTGGAAGGAGAAAAAAATAACGTACCCCACTAAGAAAGGACGCCGGCTGTATCTCGGAAACTATTTGCCGCACAGGTTTCGAAAAAGAATGTGAATGATGAAAGTGGCTAAGAGAAATCTCTGGAAATTATTTTCAAGTTTCCAGGACAGCCCCTAGAGGGCGTAATTGCACTGGCCAGTTTAATAAACGGGTTTTTATGAAAATTTGATATATCAAGACATATAAAAAACACTTTTTTCATATTCTCGAGTTCATTTCCAATCATTTCGATTAAAAAAAATTGCGCCAGCTCTTTAAATGAAAGAGGGAGGGAAGGATGAATAGTACTTTGAAAAAACTCACATAACTACAGTTTGGTGTAACGGAATTCAACGATCTTGGTCTCATTATGAAGGGTTTTTTTGGTTCTTGCAGATGAATCACGAATCAAGTCGATTTAAATCCCGTGGTGGCCGATAGATGGCATCGTTTGAAATATCAGACAATTTTCCATTTTTTTCGAAGATTTCAAATGGAACCATATATTCATTCTACTCTAATATGAAAGTAGAGCAAACGAGAAGAAACATGGTGAAAACCGCTTGATACTTCTTGAGGAACCGGTGAAATACTCGAAATAATATTATGAAAATATTCACAACAGGAATCTAACTTCAATAATCGTAATCAGAAATATCCTGTATCTATGACATTATAATTCACAAACTGCTGTTATATCTCACAATAGTGAAGGAGACTCTTAGTAATGGCATAGCTAATTGAAATGTAAGTAGTGAGTATAGGTTCAGGAATGAGAAACGGCAAGTTGGCTTTGAATGAAAGAAACGTCAAAATATAATTGAAGTTCCATTAGAAGTTTTCACTGTGGATTGCTTATTTGTCAAAATGCCGATAACGAATGAGGAGGCATTTGACATGCTAACAGTTTGAATTTTAATATTATTCCGAGTATTTCTCCGGTTCTTCAAGAGGTATCAACTCGCAGTTTTCACCATTCTTCTTCTCGTTCACTTCACTTTCATATCATAGCAGGAAAAATATATGGTTCCATTTGAAATTCTCGACTTGATTCGTGATTTATCGGAAGATCTGAAAAAACCCTTCATAATGACACCAAAGATCGCTTAATTCCGTTACACCAAACTGAATAAGAGTTTCTCCAGAGTACTATTTATCCGTCCCTCCCTATTTCATTCAAAGAGCTAGCGTAATTTTTTTCAATCGATATGATTGGAAATCAACTCGAGAACATGGAAAGAGTGTTTCTGATATGTCTTGATATATAAAATTTTCATGAAAACCCGTTTTTTGAGTTGACCAATGCAATTATGCCCTCTAGCGGCTGTCCTGGAAACTTAAAAATAATTTCCAGAAATTTTTCTTGGCCACTTTTATCATAAATATTTTTTTCCGAAACCTGTGCGGCAGATGGTTTCCAAGATACAGCCGGCGTCCTTTCTAAGTATAGTACACCCGGTACAATGTCCATTGTTACCTAACTAGAAAACCTACTAAAAATAGATTCATTCGGTAACTTGTGTGTTTTTTTAAATAATTTGCAGTCGTCAATATCCATCAACTTCAACTATAACCTACTCAGGATATATTTTATCTGCAACATTGACAATGCTCTCCGAATATACCGTGACCTCGACTATAAACTAGCATGTAATAGTAATAATAAATAATGAAAGTTCAAATCCTCGTAGAATTATCCCCATAAAATGCAATTACGAGCAAGAAAACAGCAGTTTACAAACAAATCGAACCTTGACCAGAATAGCCATTATCATTTAAATTAGAGAACATTTTGTCGGAAAAACGAGGTTGAGACTACGATTTTTTTCAGTTCGTGATAAAAATACAGTTAGAAATGTAAGAATAATAATTCATAATTGGTTGTCAATATTTGGAAAGGCGATTCTTGGGCGATTCATGGGCCTTTTCCACGAAAAGGGATATCCTGTAATGTTCAAAGAACATCGTGAGAACCAAGAGAAATAATGTAGGAATTGGCATTCTTCTTGAATTTCTGGAGGTTATATGCCGCGGGGAACACCTCCCTTGGCAATGTGTTCCAGAGCCTCGCTGTTCGTTTGATGAACGAGTCTTTGGAAAGAGATGTTCTGCAGGTCTCCAAAGTGACCACGAAGGGGTGCGAAGCCTCAACTCGACGGGTTAATCTCGCGGGGACTGCCAAGGAAGGAACAAATCGTTGATATGGAGAGGAAATAGTGTTGGTGCTAGAATTGATCCTTGCGGAACACCAGGACTTATGATAAGAGAGTCAGATGAAACTCCGTCGACCACTACATGGACAGACCTGTTCGAGAGAAAACTAGCTAGCAGAGAACATAGCTGGGGAGGCAAGCCATAAGATGGAAGCTTGGCGAGGAGTCCGTGGTGCCAGACTCGATCGAATGCCTTGGAGATATCAAGTGCCACGGCTAGGGATTTTTCAATAGATTGCTGCCATATATGTGAGACGTAAGCGAGCAGGTCACCAGTTGACCTCTGATGACGGAAGCCATATTGCTTATGTATGACCTAAACTTTCTAACTTTTGAGATACAGGGTGGTAAGTTTCTCAAAAATTAATATAGCCTACTACAATGAAATACCAAATACGAATAAGAAGTACATAAACTATGAATTGTATTTCTAGAAAATTTCTATAAACTTAGTTCTCAAACATCAAAGTAGCATTTCGCGCACTATATACAAATAGTTATTTTTGTATCTAGAGCGCGAAATGCTACTTTGGTGATCGAGATCTGATTTTTTTAACGAGGCGTAGCCGAGTTGAAAAAATAGTCGAGATGACCAAAGTATTTCGCGCACGAGTTGCAAACAACATTTTTTCTACAAACCTCAAAAAATATTGTTCTAAAGTGGAGATATGCTCAGCTTGATATAAAAAATAGTGTTGAACATACTTTAATGACCTCCCCCGATCCTCCCTAGGTACGCACGAAGTTCCACGAACATAATAGGAATTTCCTTTCGTGCGCTCCAAGAGATAAAACGAAGTTATTTATTGAACATTCAGTAATACATGATTTCGTGGATGTTTGCTCGATTGTGGACCATTAAGTTGAAATATAAATATCTCATATATTTCACATAACAGTGCGCGAAGTAGGTACTTCGCGCACTGTTTTACTTCGCGCATTGTTTTTACAAGGTATCATTTTAACGTAGGAAACTGAAAAAAAGTGTCACTTCGCAATTTGTTGTCAATGCGCGAACCTTGTCATTTTTTGACGTTTGTAGAAAAAATAATTATTAGGGAGATAATGGTCTTTGAAATTATTAGAAGAGGTTGATTGCCGAACTCAAGCGTTTGTTTTCGACGACATCAAAAGTATCGTAAGTATACATAATTATGTATCATTCACTTTTCTCATTATTCCATATTTCCGACTTCATAACGTACACTCCTAGTTCAGAACACATCACAAAAAATTTAAAATGCCAAAAATAGGTGTATGATTTTCAAGATTTTCGAATTCAGCACATTAGGTTTGTTCTGTTCGCAGTTATTTTATGATTGTAATATATCGTACATTGAATAGCCAAATAATTATCCAGGGATGAAATATATTCGATCCAAATTTGGTCGCATAGTTCATATTTTTTGTATGTTTTAGGCCGTCACTCCAAAACTATGCATATTTCTTTCTTCGTTCATATTTCCAGAAAAATATTATTTAATGGATATTTTTTCTAACTATAGAATACTCCGAACATTTCAGAAGGTGACTGTAAGAAATGTATATGTATGGCGTTTTGGGAGTAGTTTTTGTTTTTCATGAAGATCAGCTCATCGTGATGAGAGCAAAGTGTACTGAGATACGTAACGTCAATAAATTGCCTATGTCATGGTGATTGTTCACCTTGAAGAAAAAGTGAAAGGTATTTCCATTCATCTCATAATTCATCCTAATTCATTTCTGACAAAATTGTACAAAAACAACATTTCAAAATCGGCAATTTTTATAATTGGGATTTCTTCATAGCAGGAAGTATAGGTACATTCTCCTTCAGCTTGACGTGACGTTTACTCGACAACCTGTATACATGAATTTTCATCAAACAACGGCCGGCCGAATCGATTGGAGAATAAAGAAATGTATCCAAAGTATACATTTCCTGACCTCATTGTAGGGAGAAAAGTCGTCATTTCCTCCCTAGAAAGGAAAAGTACTTTTCCATCCTCAATATTTTGCAAAAATGCGGAAAATTTCGAACGAAATTATGGGAGTCACTGAAGTTCATGAAATTGATTGTAATCAGACAAGTACGAGTATTCCCACGCGATACCAGCTGTATAATAATGTTTTTTATGGAAATATCACGGCGTTGGCTCCTGATTCCACTTCTAGTGGTATTCAAATAACCACTGCTCAAAACTGAACGTTAATAACATTAAATGAATAGATTATCGAGGGAACTGTAAAGTGACTAGGAGGAGATTATTGGACAAAGCCCCCATAAAGAGATAACCGTATACACGTGTTTCGGGCTTTCGGCCCTCATCAGTACGGTGAAAGGAAGTGCAAAGGATGGGCAGCACTTGGTAGAAGACGAAACAACAAAAAAACGGAGTCAACAAACAGAAGTCAGCCGCACATTTGTGGTTTCGGTCAGCAGACCCTGAGGTCTCGCCGTTTTTATATCTATGTTACTTCTCTTCAAACATTTTTCCAAACAAAGTGTCACTGACAAGCTATTGGATTTTTCAGGCTCCCTGATAGAAAAATTTGTTAAACGCAGTGACATTTTGGGGCAAATAATCTGATTTGTCTACACTACACATAATAATATATTGAAATAATATTTTAGAGGAAGCAGAGAAAATCCAGAATAATCAAGTGAAAGAAATATGGTTGACATTGATGCGATCCCAAACGAATAATTAAAATCACCTACCTACTATACAGTATCATTTTGGGCAAATAAATTCGTGAAAGCATATAACTTTATATTATGATGAAGTAATAGATATAGGTAGTGGAAATCACGATTGAATTAATGAAATTATAGGATTAGATAAAAACACAATGGATTTGATAAAATTATGAATTATTGTTCTTTAGATTCAATGGAAAGAAACCGCAAGTAAATGCCTTTCTCTTTTGTGAAGTTTACTTTCAATATTTGGTTAGCAGCCAACTGTCTATTTTAACATCATCCATGTAAATATTTCATTATACCTGTACAGTATGTGAAGAAAACTTCCTATCATACATCACTTAGAGGTAAAAGGAATAATCATTGTAAAATTATTATAAGAATTTGTACATTATGAATTGTCCCCATATCGGAAATTTGTGTATAGAATCTCATTGGTTCAAGACTCAATAGTGTAATCTCTGGTAGAAGTCCAACATTTCCCAAAGTTGATAATCAAATTAGCTCTTAGGCTTCTTTGCCTAACTGATGAGACCCGGGAGGTCGAGAGCTTACACATTGCACCCTAAAATAGAAACCCGAATCCCAGTTTACTGCTTCGGAGTCATTTGACAAAAGCAAAAGAACTTTTGGGATTTCGCAAATCTCCACGAATTTTGTGGTGCGTTTGACCCTTTTGTTCAAAAGCAAAAATCTGAGAATCCAAAGAAGCAAAAGTATCCTTTGGTTCGGAAACCTGTTAAGTTTGTGGCTTGTTTCGACTTCGGTTCGTCTTCTTCAGTCAGGGAGAGTACCCTGAGACAAGTTGGAATTTTTCTGTTTTAGAAGTGAATCTACAGAATAGTTTTGAGCAAAGACAAAAGTCGACTTTCTCAAAGTGGAGTGTTGTTGTAACAACTAAATAAAACTCAAAATCATCTCCGCGACAGTTTACTATGTGAACAATCCCAGGTAGCACATCATATTGGCTGGAACCCGATTTCATATTGGGCCGATATAGATATATCGTACATGTGAAAAATAATATAGGTCCAATATGAGAGTATATTGGACAAACAATATTGGAATGATAATATTGGTGGAATATTGGTTCAACCTGAGCTGAATATGGATTGTCAGCTACAATATTGGAGCAATATTGGTTGTAAAATTCGTTAACAATGTGTTGAAAAACATATCTATGAATGTTATATAATATTGTTTTACGAATGTCGATACAACAACATCGTATACATATTGTTTCCGACATTTACAACCAATATTGCAATTTGAACATTCTCCCCATGTCGATTCTGAAGCGGTTATGCAATATTGTATATTCAAGTTAAACGGCATATCGGTTGGATATTGTTTTAACAATATTTGAAACATTATATTCACCCATCTTGATTGATATCATTTTATCTATATCATGCGGAAGATATCGTATACAATTTGCTTCTTACATTTATAACCAATATCGCGATTTGAATATTGTCCCCATGTTGATTCTGAAGCGGTTGTGCAATATTGTATATTTGAGTTCGACGGCATATTGGTTGAATATTGTTTCAACAATATTCGAAATATCATATTCACCTATCTTGATTAATATCATTCTATCCATATAATGCGGAAGATATCGTATACATATTGTTTCCAACAATTATAACCAATATAGCAATTCGAACATTCTCCACATGTCGATTCTGAAGGGGTTTCCAATGATTCAAATATGAATATCAATAACGGCAATTCAATATGTATCTTATATCGGACATAGAAGAGAAAACCAATATTGTATTTTCAAGTTCAATTGCATATCGGGTGAATAGTTTCCTAGCCATATTCAGAAAATAATATCATCTTATATTGGCTGATATGTGATTCACTATATCATGTAAGCAATATTGTTCACATATTGTTTTGAGAATACATATCGATATCGAAATTTCGATATTTATTTCATATTACGCACTCCTAAACCGATGTCGATAGATGGCGCTATAAATGATTGGTAACGTACTCTCATTGCCGATCCGACGAGAGAATTTAAATATTGGCTCTAGACGATTGTAAAGTATTATAACCTGGAGTAGGGGTTAACCGTGATCAACAAGGCGGCTTCCCTAGGGCAAGGCCGAAGGCCCTCCCATTGCACTCCGGCTGGGCTGACCTTTGTGATTATTCCTGATGCGAATAACTCGCAAATATTGGTATGAAAATATTCCACCAATATTTTGAAGACAACATAGCTACATAAAGATTTTCAATAATGTACCAATATTTCCAACCAATATTGCACCAGTATATTGATATCACATTTCGTGACCAATATAACTTCACGAATATATCAGCAATATTGGTAGGAGAATATTCTACCAATATTTCTGAGACAACATACCTTCATGATGATTTCCAATGATTCACCGATATTTCCATATATTACACCAATATTGCCGAATGTTCACCATTAATTTCTCGCCAATATTGATATTACATTTTGTGTCCGATATCACTCTACGAATATTCAACCAATATTAATATGAGAATATTCTACCCACATTTGGAAACTGATATACCAATATCGCCGAATGTTCACATTTTTTTTCGCGCCAATATTACTTTCACAATATTTTGCCGATATTTTCGTAATATTGCACCGATATTGTCCCAATATATGTGTGCTACTTGGAATGTCACATCAGGGAGAACATGTTTTCGGACATACATAAATGTCTATTATCACCTTATAAGAAATTAAGTCCTGCAAGAGAAAAAAATTAGTGGAAAGTGAAATTCTCACCATACAATCGCTTACATGGAGGTGGAAGAATTATCTGTAATATAAAAACTAATGAATATAAATCAACTTCACGAAATGAAAGTTTGGAGCGTTCCATGAAAATGTTTCATTTAACATTTTTTTCTTTTTTTTTTTTTGGAGAAGAAGTCCATGGTATACCGGGTGTCCTAGTATACCTGTTCCAATGAATTATCTCGGTCATTTCAAGAAATGAAAATTCGAAAATTTCATGATCTCCAATTCGTTCAAGGAAGCTTCAACTGAGAGAAACAAAGACTGAAAGTCACTTCCGGTTTGACTTTTCTATTACAAGTAGCACCCTGTATATTTTTTGCAATTCTTTATTTCTACTCAGAATTACCGTTCTAACGATGTATCACACTTTGTATTTTAAATTTGATTTGATGAAGAAAACGACGATTGAAATTTCAAATTGAACGAATTGCAGTAGGCTACGATATTTTTTCAATCTTGATTTTGACTTCAATAATAATTTCAAATTATTAGAATTGTAGTAGATCATGTAATTTTCAAATTTTCATCTTTCGAAATGGCTGATGAGATAATCTATTGGAACAGGTATACTGGGTCACCAGGTATAGATGAAAACATAAAGTCATCTCCACAACATTTCAGCCAATTGAAAGTATCAAAGTTATAGAAATGAAAAAGTAGAATACAAATAGTATAGTTGATAACAGAGCAAACAGGGAAATATGCTCCATGGTTGACTCTGTGAAATGATATGAATTTATCATGTAATAAACTTATTTGAACATAATGAATCATAGAGCATATTTCCCTGTTTGCCTTGTTATTAAATATACTATTTGTATGATCTTTGACCATTCTAATAAATGTTTGTGTTTATTAGTTGGGCCACCATACTCACTTCTTTCCTTATTCCAAAAAATATAATCAGGAATGCAAGATACAGTGTCGTGAATATAGCTAGGAACGTGATCGTGGTGACGTCACCGGTCACTGCTGTCCTGTTGTTGAAATTATAAAGGGTGGGGCCGCCATCACATCGAAAGGCATCAAACCAACCCTTCATGGCCAATCTTCTGAAAAAAAAAGAACAAAAATCAAACGGGAAATTTCACAAAATTTCAATCAATCAATCCAAGAATAAATTCTTATTGACAAAGCGTTACATGAATTATGAATTATACTGTTGCTCACAATGAGGAGTTTGAATTAATAGAATATAAACTTCAAATATAGAACATGAGGAAACCTGATTAGTACATAAAAGAAGTAAAAAATATATGAAAGAACAAATATTATAAATACACATGCATTTTTTTTATGTTCTGGTTCCCACGAAGAGGGATATCCTGTAATGTTCAGAGAACATCGTGCGAACCAAGGGAAATAAGGTAGGAATTGGTGTTCTTCTTGAATTTCTGGAGGTTATATGCCTCGGGAAACACCTCTCTTGGCAATGTGTTCCAGAGCCTCGCTGTTCGTTGGATGAACGAGTCTTTGGCATTGGAAAGAGATGTTCTGCAGAAAATATCTATAGAATAGAGCCAGATCGCCAACTTTTCTACGGCGTCCCAGAGAAAAGAATGAGTTTGTGAGCGAGGCATCACCCACGAGACGAATTACCTTTTTTTGGACAGAATCCAACAGTTTCAGGGTATGTTTGGGTGCTGCACTCCAAATATGGAAACAGTATTCCAGGACAGGTCGGATCTGTGCCTTATTGATAATAATAAGCAGCTGACTGGAAGTGAAATAGCTCCTGGCCCGAAACAGAAAAGCAAGTTTTTGGGATGCACTCTCAGCAATTGATCTCACGTGATTTTCCAAAGAAAGGTTATTGCTGATAGTAATCCCAAGCATCGAAATGGACGTGTTCAAAGGTATGGGTACTCCTGACAAGCTTATGTTGGGCACAGTGAGATCGGCTTTTCTAGAGAAGAGGCATGCTTGTGTTTTGTTTGCATTGAAATCTATATTTATCTTGTCAACATTTCTCCCTCGTTCGTTTCTGATTTGCCTTGCTGGAATTGAAGCCCTGGAAGAGAAGGCGGTATGGAGGGTACTATCATCCGCGAAGCTGTGTACTGGACATGAAGTTGCTTCCAACAAATCGTTGATATGGACACAGTTTAGAGAATATGGAGTAGAAATAGTGTTGGTGCTAGAATTGATCCTTACGGAACACCAGCATTTATGATAAGAGAGTCAGATGAAACTCCGTCGACCACTACATGGAGAGACCTGTTTGAGAGAAAACTAGCTAGCAGAGAACATAGCTGGGGAGGCAAGCCATAAGATGGAAGTTTGGCGAGGAGTCCGTGGTGCCAGACTCGATCGAATGTCTTGGAGATATCAAGGTTTCACCATATTCTTCAATAGATTGCTGCCCTATATGTGAGACGTAAGTGAGCAGGTCACCAGTTGACCTCTGATGACGGAAGCCATATTGCCTATCGTTGATAATACCAGAATGTATATACATACATACACAAACATATTCATATACATAGTCAATTACATCAATACTTGATCATAATAATTGTTATTGCATAGTTAAATCTCTGTCATTATAAAATTCTTGCAGACAATTAATAGTATCATAGATGAAGTTACCCAAAGTCATCCCCACAACATTTATTTGACGATCAATCACATAGGGGTACATGTTTCGGGCTTATATAAGCCCATCATCAGCTGAATACCAGATTGTAGTTGTAGCAAAACCAATGATGACATAGGATATAGATACGATGAATACTTACTTACATGGAAATGGAAAAGTTGAAAAATTTGATAATTTAGACAATAAAATGGGGCAAGACACAAACGTATGCACCATGATCTTGAAAACAATGGTTTAGAATTAGATGATGTCCCAGGAAAAGTTTGTTGCTATTCAACGTTCCAAGTAGTTTGAATGAAATTTGTAATCCAAATTGACACTGACAATCAGTGAACACAAAATGATGGAGTTTTCTATAAAAAAATCACATGAAATTAGTTTTATCACATTTGGAGAAAAAATGAAAAAGTATGTTTCACACGGCAGCAAATGTAGATTGAATACTACTCTACTTTGCTGCCTATTAAAACAAATAACTATTTTTGTTATGTATTTTCAGAAATAAATAAAATGTCTGTCCCGTATTGAGATTTCCGAGACACACTGTTATTTATAACAATTGGAACATGGCAGCAAATGTAGATTGACTACTGCTCTACTTTGCTGCCAAGTAAAACAAATAACAATTGTTGCTATGTATTTTCAGAAACAAATAGAATGTCTATCCCGTATTGGGATTCCCGAGGCACACTGTGTATATGGATATACATATTATCTGATTCATTATTATTCTTCCCTCCAAAAAGTAATGCGCCATAGTGACCTTGAATATAGCGACCTTCAGACAGATATTTTTTTCAATTCTGCAACTATTTTGTATTATTATATTGATGTTTGTTATGAATACCCGAAATTTTTGTCTATCCGACCTTTGCATGGGTCTCGACAGCTGGTGAATGACATTGGCTTATGCTAATTAAGTACCTGTTGATTATATCATGCAAGACCTCACAGGTAGGTGTTCGACAAAGTCAAGATCCTTCAATTCGGCTCTTCAATTTGAATCACTAATTGGACTAATGACTAATGACTTGCCAATGACTAATACCCGACACATGGTATATCAATAAACTACTGCATCTATAATCACCTTGTTTGTTTATTGATGTCGAATATTCAATGTATGGTCCACTGACAAAACTCGTCTTATATTTATATTGTATTTATTCACCATATTTACCATATCAAACAAATAAACATCATATAGTTCAACTAAATTCAATTATAATAAATTGAAAAAGTTTTACTTTTCATCTAGGTGCAAGCACCTGTATATGCACATAAATAAACAATTTTGATTTATGAATGAGCGGCAAATATAAATATAGAACATATAAAAAAAATGGTAGGTACATATTATTCTCAAGGGAATGAAGTTTATTAAAAATTGTTCTGCAACTAATGCTGACTTAATTCATATTTTTCAATTTCCTTATCGACAGAGGCATAACAAATTATCAAACATCGGACCAAGATAACTGAAAATTTTTTGATATCAAATGACAAAATCAGACTGACAGAAGTGACATCAGATATTTGATTACTTCAAAAGAATGATAAAGATGCTTACAACACAGGTGTCCCTACTGTTAACAACTTAAAATTGCACGTCAATAATTTTCAGATTTCAAAATAATGTAATATCTTCTCAATATTGATTCGTCCTTTCTTTTGTCACAGAAAAAAATAGTGTATTATACACGCGAAAAGTATTAGATTTTAGCTCACGGTTTTTTATCTCCCTCCCTCCGCTACGCGTCGGGAGACAACACAACCTGGAGCGAAAATCTACTACTTTTTTCCCTTGTATAATAAATAACTATTTTTCAAGCTTCACAATATGTTTCAACACTTCATGAATATTCATGTCGATACCTTGCGAAGTGTTCACAATTGGCTCTAAACTTGATGAATAGTAAGCAATTATACACAAACAAACAATGAAGCCTGAATTTGTTATAGCACAATAAAGTTGGGCAGCTTTTTGGCTTGTGTTACAATTTTTGTCATATTTCATGTAGTATAATGCTTGCACAATATTCAAAAAGTTTCCTTTGAATATACGAATACTCTGGTATTTTGAGGACCATCGTGTTTCGGATAACAAGGAAATATTAGATATTTTAGTTCTCCTAAGAACACTTTCCCTAAAAAAGGTTATTATAGTCTATATTGTACCTACTGTATTTCTTATTTCAGGAAAGTTATTCAGATCATTAATAACTAGATTCAGTTTAAACATCTGAGGCGATCCATCTTACAGTGGAGTGAAGGCAATAGGACAGGACAAAATTCTTACAGTCGACTTCACTCTTTGGTGGAGTCGACTGTAAGAATTTTGTCCTGTCCTAGATTCAGTTTGTGTGAAGCACAATGGAAATATAGTTCTTTGGGGTATTCTTTTCGACTTATTCCTTGAACACCACCATCTATTTCGGGCATTGTAGAACAACCATCATACCCCTGTCCAACCATCTGATTCAAATTTAAGTTCGAACTTTTAAAATTTGTGAGATTTCTCTATACTAATATATTTTGCATTGAGCTCAGTTGATGGCAGGAAACCCAAAAAATGTTCATGAATTTTGTTGTCATCTGGCGAAATATATCTCACCCCAATTGATAACTGTTCTTTACTGAATACTTTTCATTTTTCTTCGATTATTGTAATAACACATATCTCGAATGCTGATATTAAACAGATATTTTGTTCAGAAAGAAAATATCTGAGTAAAGACAAGGTGCTAGCTAGGGGGGGGGGCGAGCGCCCCCCCTTGCCCCTTCCTCCGCGGACGCCCCTGTGACGTATCCTATTAGTCAAATAGTTTATGTGGCTATTCCATTTCATATTTTCATAAATAATTATGCCTAAATATTTGATTTCCATCACCTCTTCAATTTCTTCAGAAATGTAATCCATTGCAATCTTATTGAAGTTGGGGCGTGAATGATCTGTAATGGTGAATGATATATATTTTGTTTTTTCAATATTCAATGATAGTTGGTATGTCAAGCCAATTTTTAATAGTTTCAAGTCCTTCTTTGACATTATCTCTCACCTAATTCCATGTCTGTGCACTAAAAACAGCAACAGTGTCATGTGCATGAGAGACAATTTTAGCCATTGCATTTATTAATGTGTGTTGTAATTTCAGGTGACGATGGGAGGAAATCTGTCCGGAAATCTCTCTTCAAACGCGGTAGGTATCGTTGAATTTCTAATGATAATCCCTATAGCCTATTACAGAGGGCACCTAGCAGGAATCCATTTGACATGAAGAAGTCAAAAAACTGTTTTACACAATAGTTATTTTTGTATCTATAAAAGCAAGGCAAAATAATCATTCGATAACGCAAAAGCATTCCGCATTCGAGATGCAAACAATATTTTTTCGCAAACTGCATTGAAAGTAATATGAGGACGAAGGAATAAATATTCAAGTATTTGTCATT